CCGTGGGTATTTATAGCCGCTAGGCCGGAGACACAAGTCCGGCCATCCGGCATGTCACCCATGTAGCAACCACATGTCCTCCTCCCGGGAGGCCCTGCCTGTCAGCGCGTAATGCCGCCACGTGTCTCTTATCGGCTCTCTCGCCTAAGGGCCACTGATCGGGAACCGAAGATGTCGGTCGGGTGATGCCCGGTCAGTTCTTCTAAGAAAATTCGACCTGTAACCTGCACAAACAAGAATAAAACACGTGGCATGTCGGTCGGGGTATTCCCTACCAATACCCAACATGATTATGTGTACGGGACGCCTCCTATGCCTCTGAGGCCCGTACGAGATGTGGGCCACCTATCCTACTTTTTTTTTTTTTTTTTTTTTTTTTCACGTTGCATTGAATACTCTACTATGCAGGTCTAACATGATGATGTGTACGAGCAGCCTTCTATGCGGCAAATTATATCGTGCACTGTGGTGCATAATCGATTATGCACTGCGCATCAAAACGATGTCGTTTTGTTTAATGAAAAGAAACAGTATCCGTTTCTCGCCGTTCCGCAAAAAGTAACTCTGTTATTCAGTTTCATTTTGTATACACTGCAGTTTCAGTTCAACACAACTACAGTTCCATTTCGATATAACTACAGTTTCATTCGATATTTATAGACTCAAATATGTGAAAATGTTATTTAATTTTATTTTATACACACTATAGTTTTATTAAAACACAACTATATGATCATTTTGATATAATTACAGTTTCATTGTACAATACACTCAAATATGTGAAATGTTATTCAGTTTCATTTTATATACACTGCAGTTTCATTTCACCACAAATTCTAACTAGAAACGAGATCGAAAAGGCTTGATTCAAGACAATCAAGCTTGAGCTCGTGTGCGCGGGTATCATTTTTCCAACTCGAAACATCGGGGCCGAAACTGTGTGGAGATTGAATTCATCTGTTACGGAATTAATTTTCTATTAATTCCAATTTTGAATTCTAAATTCAATTCTCAGGTAGTGGTCTGCTGTTATAGCTGTTGGAAAGCCAACTTTAATGCCAGTTCACCCCTATATAAGAAGGAGTTGGGCAGTAGCAGATTTACAATAACAAGAAAGTAAAATTTTCAGCCTCAAAACTCTCTGCTTATACTCTTTCTTAAGCCTACCGTGTTCATAATCTTGCTCTAGTTCGCCGGATTCCTTGTTTGGGTGCTCAAACATTGAATTGTAGCAAGTTTTATCCTGGGAAGCCTAGGCAACAACGCTCCTAGCACTTTTGGGAGGTGGCAAATAAGGTTTTGATAAGTGCTAATTCTTAGTATTTTTATGTGCATACTTGATATCAAACTCATATGATTTCATGTTAATTGGAAGCTAAGTATGTGCCTATTTGATTCCTTTGTGTCATTTAGGTTATTTGGAGGCATTGGTTGTAACTTCATGTAAATTGGAGCTCAATTGGTTGTATTTTGAAGTCATCTTGACAGAAAGGCAAGTTCCGGGAGTCATTAAAGGTTAAGAAAATGAAATAAAGCGAGTTGAAGTATCATGACATGACCCGAGGACCCAAAGGAACAAAGGAGATGAATAAATATGCATTTTTGAAGTGAAAAACATGGGTCACGCAGGTGGTCACGCGGTGATTGCCAGCGTGACACCATTATGCTTTGTACTTTTTTTCTGTCAGGCGAAGTCTCGGTAATTTGAGCATATCTCAAGCTAGGAGTGTCCAAATAACGTGATTCAAGTGGAATTAGAAAGGAAACTCAGAGAGCTACAACTTTCATGAAAACCACAAAGGCTAGTTCAGACGTTTACAATGTGAAAAATGGTCTAGATATCAGATACTGTGCAGAGATGATGGTCACGGTGTGACGTTGACCGTGACCAGAAAAGACCTGCGAGGGTTAGGCCTAGTCATGATGAAGGTCACGCCGTGACCTCTATCATGACCAAGCATTCTGGAAGCAGTTAAAAGGACGTGATTCCAAAAGTATAAAGTATCTTTAGGCATTATTTTCATCTATCTTTCAATATCCAATCTCCCTCTACACCTTCTCTCCATCCAAACCCTTTAGAACAAAAAATCCATTGTATTCCATCATCTTTTAGAGAAGATTTAGAGGGAGATTAACGTATGTAATTGGAACTTACACTTTCAGTTTCAGATTTACATTCTACAAGTTCTATCAAGTTAAGTTCTCAATTTCTTACTTTCACATTTCACATAATTTGTAGTTTGAATTTATTGTTCATTACTTTAATTGCTTTTAGTTTATCAATTTCATTATGAGTAGTTAAACTAGTTGGGGATTTACATTGAATTGCTTTGTATGAATGTCAACATGAATTAAATTGGAAAACCTAGGGCTTGCAATATCTTTAGATTTAATTTGATTGTGAATTTGGTAAAATGTTTTGACTCTTGCTTGGTTAGGGCCCAAGTATGCAAGAGGTCACTGGATTTGGTGCTTCACCTATGAGAATAGGGATTCACCATAGCCAAACCTATCACAATTCTAACTCACTCTTGAGAAAGGGGAGTTGGAAGGGATAGAGCACACAAGGTATTCGATTAATTGCCTCATCTAGTGTATTTGCCATGAGAATGAAATTAGAACTTAGGTGATAGCACAATGACCATGAGAATGGCATTAGCACTTGCTAAACACCTTCACTTTCATTCTTGATCTTTGCTTGGTTTAGAAACTTAGAACATTATTCGCATTTATGCAAAGTGATTTTATCTAAATCCTTTCTTTCGATATTGTCTGTTACTTGATTCATTGCTTTATCTTAAACTTGTTCTCTATGCAAACAAATATTTCCTTTTGGTTAGCTTTCGAACACTCAATGATCTTGTGTTTAACCTCTCTCTACTCAATTCCCTTAGAGCCATTCCTAGAGGATGACACTCACTAAATATCACCACTAAAATCAACTTTCAGGTTTTAAGGAAAGAGTGATCGCTTGACTCTTGCTAAAAACCCTACACCAAACACTAGCCAATCTCTTCATCTTTCCTTCCCCTTTTCCAGAAAAATAATAATCTTATTTTATTGGATTATTATTTGTTTTTCACCAACGGAATTCCCAACAAATTATTCATTATAAAAAAATTTAAAAGAAATATAATTTCATTAGTTATATTATCATTATTTTCTACAATTCAAAGATTCCTTACCTTCAAATTTATTAATTTATTTTTTATTATAAGGAAGGGGATACCCTACATATACACACTACAATTCAAAGATTCCTTACCCTAAATTTATTAATTTATTATATTCAATACATTGTCCATTGTCTTCTTTTTACATTATCTTCTAATTAAATATAAAAGTTATAATACAAAATATGTTATATATATTTATTTACCAAGTATTTTATACAAATATAATAAATATTAATATTTTGTTCAATACTCTCACAGGATAACCTACGATACACATCTCACAACACATGAAACATGTAGGGGAAAAACTATCACTACTAAATATCAATAGGTGTTTGTAAGATAAAAAGTTCATATTACAACTAAAATATCAGTCATATACACAGCAAAGCAAATCTACAGCTTCCTACACCATAATTTCATTGCATGATGAATCCCTCTATGCTGCCACCAGTAACCTAATTGTACATGACACACTACCAATTGTACAAAATCTGCAACATCAATAGTAACTTGTTGATGAATAAGTGACATTATGATCCAATTCTATTGTTTTAGTATCAATTGAACTTTTTTTTTCTTCTTTCAGTTTAGAAACCTAATTGCATTATTCTTTCCATATAGGGATGAAAATGTTGGAATTTTTAACTTAAAAATGGCATTTAAGTGCCTATTTTATGGTGTAAATATATGTGGGGTTCATTTCCAATTTGGATCGAGTCAAAGTGGATTTGCACTCTTCGTTGTGAGACAAAGAAATTGATATATTGTACGTTCAAAACGGATAATGAGTGATGAGAAATTGATTATCAAAGTTGACCCATTTGAGTTAGAGAATAGATGTGGAACGGCTTTGGAAAAGCACTTGTCTCACATCGGTGTGAGAAGTGATTTGCACTACTATATATACGAGAGCTTTTTAGAAGGAGGTTGAATTGTATAGCATAGAGACTCTCTTGTGCATAGGGGATGCAAATCAAATCCCAAAATAAGCTTGACTCGTGTGCGCGAGCACGACTGTTGTCTAGAAAATTGGCTAGCTTTATTTTTTTTATACTTTTCCAACTTAGAGCCACTGTCCTTGTTTACCATTCGGACTGTCCAAATTAAAACTCCAGATTAAAGTTGCAATGCAAGTTACTATTTTAGTTCTAAATTAACAAGCTTATTTGAAAAAATAATAATTTAGTTATTATATTTGAGTATTTTTTATTGTTCTATATTTTAATATAACTAGTGAATTTTATTATTTTATTATATATGGGTAAGTAATTTTAATAATCTTTTAAAATTCTTTTTTTTTTTTTTTTTTTAAGAATAAAGTTGCAATATATTAATGAATGAAAGCAACAATAGAGTCAGGGGGAACAGAGTCCTAATACAGCGAGTTTGCCTGATCAAAGGCAGCTGCGGCAAGAGTGTGAGCATGTAAATTTAAAGCTCTAGGAACAAAACTAACAAAACAGTAATTAAATGTGGCCAAGGCCGCCTACATTGATCAATAACAATCCCAACATAAAATCGGGCAGGCACCTGTGACGAGATCAAGTTGCTGTGTAGCTCCAAACAATCAGTAAATAAATCCACTACCACCACATTACAATCCTTGAGCCAAGATAGTACCTCTTTACAAGCCATGTACTCCGCCATGAGAGGCGAGAAGCACACGGGTAGCTGTCCACTGCAAGCTGCCAAGAATCGGTCATCGTGAGTTAATAGCACCGCTCCGAATGTAGCCGACCCCGTGGCGTGTCTAAAACCCGCATCTATGTAACATTTGTGATTTTGCGATAGCTGGGGCATAGCAATCTCGGCTGATGGCAGCTAATGATCCTTCTGCCTCACGAGCTTCCAGCTGGCCAAAGCCGACACAGCTCTCCTCCAAACTACACTAGGCAGCGGCATATTCAGCTCCCAAACGGCCTGATTTCTCGCCCACCATATGTAGTATAAGGCTGCCACAACAAGTTGAACATGGTCCTTAGATAATGAGCATAAAATATTCCGCAACCATAGAGAAAAGGAATCAGCTACAATGTTTGTAATGGGGAGTGTAGACTCATGCCAAATTAGACTAGAGTATTCACACAAAACCAATGCATGCATAACACTCTCATGACCAAGACCACGTACATTTCGGACATGCCAAATCAATGTCGGCTCTCTTCAAAGCCAAATTCGTGGTGGTAGGAAGAATATCATTGATAGCTCTCCACAAAAACATCTTCCACTTGGGAGGAACATGTAACTTCCAAATAGAAACCCAACTATCAAAACTCCCTGGGTACTCTCATAATTACCAATAATGTACCTATAGCCCCCTTTCACTGTATAACAACCCCTAGGATCGTTGGGCCAAAACCATGAGTCATCATAGTCCGGGCTGACAGGAATTCTGGAGATCCGAACCGCCTCCTGAGAATCAAACAGATCAGATAAAATATGGGGGTCCCAAGAACCAGTATCCGGGTTAATCAAACCTGAAACCATAGCTCCCCGTAACTCATTAGGCATGGTAGACTGAATAAAGGGACCAGGCTCGTCAGGTATCCATGAATGATAAAATTAAAGTAGACTCACCATTACCTATTCTCCTCCTTACTCCACCACAAATTAGACCATGTGTTGCCATTATACTGCGCCAACAGTAACTAGGGCAGTTGCCCAGAGATGCCTCGTAAAAAGTGGATTTAGGGAAATAGCGAGCCTTGTAGACTCTAGCAGCCAATGATTCTGGGGCTGTCAGAAACCGCCAAGCTTGTTTCCCTAGCATAGCCAGATTAAAAGCTCGGAGATCCTTAAAACCGAACCCTCCATATTTCTTAGGCACACATAACCGATCCCAGGCTTTCCAATGGATTCCCTTATCATTGCCAGTACCCCCACCAAAATCTGTTCGTAGCTCTCTTAATCGATAAACAAACAGAAGTAGGTAGCAAAAAGACACTCATTGAGAAAGTAGGCATAGATTGTGCCACACTTTTCAAAAGAACCTCCTTACCCGCATGCGAGAGCAATTTCTTATTCCAGGAACCGATTCTCTGTCTAATCTTATCCTCCACATATGCAAAGACATCCCTTTTATTTCTTCCCACAAAAGATGGGAGGCCCAAGTATTTACCAAAATTAGGTGCCTGAACCACGCCCAAGAGTAGCAACTTCCGCCCTACACGCCTCCGAAGTGTTCCTACTGAAGCAAATACTAGATTTATTGAAATTTACAGCCTGACCTGATAAAGTCTCATAAACATTCAAACATTGCCTGATCACAAAAAATAAATGAGAAATAGGCAGAGCACCCCTGGCCACCCTACAACCCTGGATAGCTCCACGATCCTGGGCATTCTGTAATAACAAAGATAGGCCCTCAGCACAAATGATAAATAGATAGAGAGAGATAAGGTCACCTTGCCTGAGGCCACGGGTGGGGGTAACCTGACCACCACTTGCACCATTTATAGTGACTGAGTAAGTAACAGTGGTCACACATAGCATAATCAACTCCATCCACCTACTATCAAAACCCAGGACTCTCAACATTTTTTAAAATTCTTTTTAATAAGATAATAAGTTGTGGGTACCCGCATGCACTTGGTGGAGCGAGTTGATGGTGAGTTTTGAAAAAGTCTATCCACTAAGAATCAGGAGTAAAAGTGTGTGGAAAAAGTATAAAATGGATCAGATGGTGGATATAGCCATCTGATCACTGATAATTCTCACATGACTCATTGCCATGCATCTCTATATATTGAGACAGATATACTATGAATATGTGATATTACATATTTGCTTTCAATTAAATAAAAAAAAATTAACCAAAAAAAAAAAACATTTAGTTAAAAATTATTGTACCTATTTCAATCGTGATAGGCGCCCATTATATGACTCAACCTGTATGCACGTTTCTTTGAAAATAAGCATGTATGTTTGTTTGTTTTCTTTTCTTTTGAAAATGGGGTTAAGAGTTAAGACGTTAACTTTACTTTGGAGACTAATAATTTTATTCCTTGACTTGTTATTGATAATATTTAAGACTTTTGATAATACATTTATTCTCGATCTATCTTTTTAGAAACTTAACTTGAACTTTGCCTTAGGTTAAACTTCAATTAAAATTTACGGTCTACATATTCCACCAAAACTCTACATGTTAGCTATGGTAGGTTGATGACATGATAATTACAAAGTTATAAGTTCGATTTTCAATGGGAGTCTGTTGGTCTTATTTGTTTGAGTCGATTAGTTATGGACAACTTAGGTTGCCTTGTGATCATCTGTCAGCTCAGGTCACATGACGAGATTTATCTAGTATATTCTATTGAATAGTGGTTACAAGTTTACCTTGTCAGTTCTCACCAAAAAAAAAAAAAAGAAAATTATTGGTTAATTTGGTTTAAAATGTAAGTTAGCTAAATTAATTAACTGATATGTAATATGTTAATGAATTTACTAGTGTATATTCTAATGAATATTTTGTATTGTGGAATTATGGATTATTGATGGATTAAAATTATATAACTAAATTACTTGCTAAACTTTTATTTAAGTTTTTTTTTTCAATTTTTTTTTTTAAAAATTTTGAGTAATATTATTTTGATTATTAGTGATGGTAGAATCGGAATAAGTGGTTTGTGCATAACTAATTAACATGGCATTACAAACATTACACCGAAAATTAGTCGTCTTATATAAGGGATACAACAATATAATGCTGCCCAAAAGACTTGTTCTGATTTTAAAATTAAATCATTGAATTGTTGAATTCCACACTAATACAATGGAATATTGTATATACACAAACAATATTGATTAAAGTCAAGAGGCATTAATTGAAGTGAGGTTGACACCGATTTGCAAAATGAGACTATTCTCTATATTAAAATGATAAAATATAGTCGTTTGAAAATGGGGTTAAGACGTTAACTTTACTTTGGAGACTTAGAATTTGATTCCTTGACTTGTTATTGATAATGTTTAAGACTTTCGATAGTATATTTATCCTCGATCTATTTTTTTAGAAACTTAATTTGAATTTTGCCTTAGGTTAAACTTCAATTAAAATTTAAGGTCTACGTATGCCACCAAAACACTACATGTTAGATATGGTAGGTTGATGGCATGATAATTACAAGGTAATAAGTTTAATTTTCAATGGGAGCGATTTATTGGTCTTCTTGGTTTGAGTCGATTAGTTATGGACAACTTAAGTTTAATTTGTTTATTTCCTTGTGATCATCTGCCAGCTCGGATTACATGGCGAGGTTTACCCAATATATACTATATATTGAATAGTGGCGGTGAGTTTACCTTGTCACGAAAAAAAGAAAAACAATATTGGTTAATTTGATTAAAAATGTAAGTTAACTAAATTAATTAACTGATATGTAATATGTTAGTTAATGAATTTACTAGTGTATATTGTAATGAATATATTTTGTATTGTGGAATTATGGATTATTGATGGATTAAAATTATAACTAAATTACTTGCTAAACTTTTATTTATGATTTTTTTTTCAATTTTTTTTTTAAAATTTTGAGTAATATTATTTTGATTATTAGTGATGGTAGAATCGGAATAAGTGGTGTGTGCATAACTAATTAACATGGCATTACAAACATTACTCCGAAAATTACTCGTCTTATAAGGGATACAACAATATAATGCTGCACAAAAGACTTGTTCTGATTTTAAAATTAAATCATTGAATTGTTGAATTCCACACTAATATAATGGAATATTGTATATACACAAACATTATTGATTAAAGTCAAGAGGCATTAATTGAAGTAAGGTTGACACCGATTTGCAAAATGATACTCTATTCTCGATCTATAGTAAAATGATAAAATATAGTAGTTTGTTTCCATTGTGCATGTCTCTATCTGGAATTCTTCTATGCTTGTAGTTGTTCATACCACATAGGGCTGTCTTGTATAATAAAATATAAACAAGATCGAGCACACTGTGCCATAGAGAAAATAAATTGAATTTACAAACACGTTTGCATGCATGCATATTCCTTAATTACAAATTTTGATTAAAGAAAAAGATTATGAATGACTGCAAATTGCACCAGCAAATACCACGTAATCCTTGATCATTAATAAGAGTTGAGGCCGGAGACAAAGTTGTCCGATGAACTTGCTATAGAGAGGAAAAGAATTGTCCTTAAGAGGAGAAGAACATATATGCTGTCAATGTAATATTGAGCAGTGAAGGATGCATCTCTTGCACCAATCTTACAGTTGTACATTGTCTGTAAATCCAAAAATATAATGTTATCAGTGAAAATATGAAAAATTATATATAGATATGCAAAAACTCGATAAGAACTCAAGATATATATAAGATTATTAGGTTTTATAATCAACACGAATAATGGGTCTTACCAACTTGATTAATTGCATTTCATAACAACAAGCTAAGAGGTTCCACATTGCCTACTTCCTTCTTCCAAACTGCAATTTCCAGTAAATGCACATAGTTTTAGATGTAGAAAGCTATGCCCCATATATAACATAGGTTTGAAATATTCACTACAAATAGATAGGGGGATATATAAAATGATGGTTTAGTATGAACTTACCTTGAATAGTGTAAAAATTTATGGATTCGGATATTCAAGACCAAACAACTGGCTTATAGTGATCTCAGGGAAAAAATTGGGAAAATCCCTTTCTATGGTTAGCATCATAGAAACTTGTTGCATAGTTGGCCGACATTGAGGATTGGAATAATTCAGACAAGAGACTGCTATCTTTAAAACCAACACAAGTTGTTGTGCATCATGTCTTTTTGGAGTTGAGAGTCGAGGGTCCAACAAATCCATCAGAAGCATTCCAGCAGTTGCTGAGAGTGAGGATGAAGAAATCCATGTAACAAGGTTACCCGGATGTTTCCCCATAAGCACTTCTAGTGTTACCACACCAAAGCTATACACATCACATTTGCAGTTTAACTCTGCAGTGTAAGCAAACTCTGCAAATAAATTCCTAATACATTATATCATATATAAAGTCAAAGGGAAAAGAGAATAACAAGAAAGAATATAATAGTGTGGACCTGGAGCTATGTATCCCATTGTTCCAGCAAATGCAGTCCAATTTGATGAATCAGGGCTCAAAAATCTTGCCGTCCCGAAATCAGATACATGAGCTTCGTGTTCAGAATCAAAAAGGACATTGTTGCTAGCTTGAGATGTCCCGGTGAACAACACTACTGGAAATTATGGAATTTCCGACCACCTGAAAGTGATCTTAAATCAAGTCGAAAGCATTGTTCCGACCACTCTTGGTATCCAGAAAAACCTTTGTTGCTATTTCCGACCACTTTTTGGTATCAATTTGATTTAAAATCACTTTCAGGTGGTCGGAAATTCTATAATTTCTAGTAATGCAATAGGAGGTGAACAATCATGGTGCATGTATGATAAAGCTTTAGCCACAGCTTTGATCACATTTATCCTTTCCAACCATCCCAACTGGAGTGCTTTATCATCATCACTCAAAATTTGTGCTAGACTCCCCCCTTGTAAATACTCATAAATCAAGAATGAATGTCTATTGTGAGCAAAAAAGCCATAGAGCTTCACAATATTCCGATGCCTCAAATTTGTTAATGTGCTTAACTCATTTGAAAAACTTCAAGATCATGCCAACTGTCATCATCTTGCATGCCTAATGTATGAAACTTCTTCACGGCAACAATCTGACCACTAGGTAATTCAGCCCTAAACACGCTTCCTTGCCCTCCTACACCAATGCAATAACTGGAGTCAAAGTTCCCTGTTGCTTCAATTATGCTTTTATATGTCATCTTTCCATCAAAGCTCCATATTGTGAACAAATCTTTTGTAAAGTCACTACGCTTCTCCACTGTATTTCTCATTAGTCGTCGAATGACTAAAAGAACTATAATAACCATGGTCAAAATAAACGAACTTCCCAAGATTACTGATATAATTATTACCAAATTACTATTCTTGCTATCAATTTGACTGTGTGGAGAGCATGGCTTTAAGCCAGAATGATTGCCACATCAACCTTTGTTATTACTCAAGGCAGAATATGGTGCTTGTAGAAATGCTTTAGTGTTAGGGATAGGGCCTTCCAACTGATTGTAAGATATATCAACAGAAACTAAAGCTGCACATTGAGCAATGCTTGATGGGATGGAGCCTGAAAAATTATTGTGAGATAAGTCCATGGTGTTTAAATTGGTTAATCCTCCAACTTGTGGAGGTATCTGATCAGAGAGCATGTTGTGACTGAGACTGAGATTTTCAAGGGATTTCAAGCTTAGCATATCAAGAGGAATCTTGCCCACAAGCATATTTCTGCTCAGATTCAATGTGATTAGGTGTTGGCATCTTCCAATTTGTGGGGGAATTGAGCCAACAAACATATTTGAAGCTAAGTTTAGAGCTCTGAAAGCAAATATAGTTCCCCAACTTCAATTCTAGTGGTATTTTGCCAGTAAGTTTGTTATTTTCTAAATTTAGCATATACAACAATCTCAACTTTCCCAAACTTGTGGGAATCTTTCCAACCAACTGATTTGATGAGAGATCAAGAAACTGTAGTTGAGATGCATTGACAAGGTCAAGTGGGATATTTCCAGAAATTCTATTGCCCGCCATTTTCAGAGCTGTAAGTTTTGGAGAAAGACCCCAATTTGAAGACAATTGGCCTCGTAAGTTATTATAACTCAAATCTATGTAATTTAGGTTTGGATATATCCCAAAATCTTTTGATACATCTCCATAAATAATCTCATTTCCGTAAGCCTAACTCTGTAAAGGCTTGTACAATTCTTGAGACTTTTAGAAATCTTTCCACTAAATTCGTCGTTTGCGATAGATAAATTTTCAAGTAACTGGCCAAAACATATATTCTCAAGCAAAGATCCAATGAAATGATTATACCCAATTTGAAAACTCTTCAAATTAGTGAGATTGTTGAATTCAAAGTTATTTGAACGTAACCATAATTTTTGAAGAGATATCAATTTCCCTAACTCCTTAAGAATAGATCCATGGAGTTGATTTTCAAATAGAGATAAATGTATCAACATTGACAAGTTCCCTATTCCTGGAGGGATTTGGCCAATGAGAGTATTTACTGATAGATCACACATAACAAGAGATTTTAACAATTCAATTTCTTGAGGGATATGGCCTGATAGGTTATTTGTATACAACCATAGCCCTTGAAGATTTTTCAATTTCTCCAATTCCTTAGGAATGGGTCCATAGAGTTGATTTTCAAGCAATGATAAATATACCAACTTTGTCCAGTTTCCTATTTCTTGAGGGATATTGCCAGAAAATTGATTATCATCAAGATATAAGATAGTCAAATTCCTCAAGCTTCTAATTAATGTAGGAATTTGACCCGTGAAAGTATTTGACTGAAGATCCATCTCTACAAGCGAAATTAACAACCAAATTTCTTGAGGAATATGACCAGAAAGATTGTTATGGTCAAGATACAACCATTTTAAGTTTTTCAAGTACCCAATTGAAGTAGGAACTTGGCCAATGAGAGAGTTTTTGTACAGTGCCAACCCCACAATTGATACTAACAACCCAATTTTTCAAGGAATGTGTCCCAAAAATTGATTATCGCCAAGATCCAAAATTGTTAAATTTTGCAAATTGGACATTTGTTCAATAAAAGAAATGTTACAGTGGAAAGAGTTGAAAGACAAATCAAGGATTTCAAAAGAGGACAAGGATGAAAAGTTTAGACCCCCGAGCGTACCTTGTAAACCATATCTAATAAGGTTCAAGGATGTAATGCTTCCATCCAGGGGCGGACCTACAATGGGGACAGTGGGAGCAGCTGCTCCCACTCACCCCACCCCCAGCCCATATATAACCCTTGTATGTATATATGTATGTATATATAGTACAAGGTTTAAGTATAAGTAGATGAAAACAACTAATATTAATGAAAGTGAAGTTAGCCTAGATGGTAGAATGTGTGTGTAAGTCTGACGAAAGTCAAGGGTTTGATTCAGGCTTATGGCGTAAATGCATATATTTTGGAATTATATATATATATATATACTTTATAATACTTTCAAAATATATGAATATAGTTTTATATTAATAATAAGATCATGTGTTTTTTTATTAATAATATATAAGATTGCAATTTATAATGTGTTTTCTGTTAGAATTATTTTATCATTAATTATGTTTTATATTTTGTTATAAATATTTTTTTATTTTTCGTTCATATCGAACAATATTTATGACTAACTTCAGATGTGTAATTTATAATGTGTTTTCTATTGATAATAAAATGTGTAATTTATAATGTGTTTTCTATTAGAATTATTTTATCAAATTAATTATGTTTCATATTTTTTTTTGAATGCTACGACTCTATTACAATGTAGTATCTGTTCATAACTACTTTCTCAACCTACTGAAACACAAAGAGCCAATAACGCCTCCATTGAGGCTCAAACTCACAACCTCTCATATGTGAGCCCAATCCGGGTGCCATCTGTGCATATCTAACAATATTTATGGTTAATTTCTTAACTATTTCATCTGTTTTAAGCTATCCCTTTTGTTCTAATGTTTCGCCCCCACTGAACAAAATTTCTGGGTCCGCCACTACTTCCATCAAGGTTGCAGTTAATTCCAGTCCAATTGCCCACAGTGGGTGCCACCAACAACGTTAACCCATGATGACAATAGTTTTTGAGTTTTGAGGTCAAGGCTGGACTTCCATGTCAACAAAGAAGCCACTTGTAGTTCATTTGCTTCTCGCAAAGAATGGGTGTTTGTAGTGTTGAAATGGGAAGCTGAAATTGGATGAAAGGCAAAAAGATATATTTTCTGGATTTGCCATTGTGGAAGGATTGATGACACACATGCAGTACAAATGGTGTAAATAGTTAAATGAAGAAGGTTAGTGTATTGGGTGCGTGGAAAAGGAACAAACATATGGGACTATATATAGATTTTGTTTGTGTGTACTGGATCGAATTGGATTTATGATGCAACACTAATGACTATTTTCTATTTTATTTTAATTTTATTTGAAAAATGTAATAAATTTAAAATGTATGTTTTGGGTGATAAGGGAAACTTATTGCTAGAATTTAAAACTAAAAATAAAAAAAGAAAGAAAAGTTAAATTAAAATTTATAATAGTTATAATGATAAAAAGAATTATAATAAAAGATTTAAATAAATAGTTTTTTTTTTTTTTTTTGGGAGTGGAATTGGGGGTTGAATTGCAATTTCTCTTCCACCTAATTTCCTCCCTCCAACCAAACAGCTCGTTAATTGTTTAGTCCGACTCAACTCAATTCGTATATGGCAAATTATATCATGCACCACGGTGCATGATCAATCATGCACCGCACGTCCTTTTTTTAAATGAAAAGAAACGGTGTTTGTTTTCCGTCACTTCGCACCCTTTCGCAAAAAGTAACCCCGTTATTCAGTGTCATTTTGTATACACTGCAGTTTCAGTTCAACACAATTACAGTTTCATTTCGATATAATTATAGTTTCATTCGATTTTATAGACTCAAATATGTGAAAATGTTATTTAATTTTATTTTATATGCACTATAGTTTTATTAAAACACAACTACATGATCATTTTGATATAATTACAGCTTCATTGTACAATATACACTCAAATATGTGAAATGTTATTCAGTTTCATTTTATATACACTGCAGTTTCATTTCACTATAACTATTGTATCATTTTGATATAATTGCAGTGTCGGTTTATAGATACTGTAGTGTCAGTTGGTGTTTAATACACCAAACAAGCGGACTCCGTTAACTATAACGGTGGGCCCTTTTTTACTACCGTTCATATAACGACCGTTCATATATTTAATCGGCCATGATAAATGTAATCAATCTAAAGTCTAAACTAAAGAAATTGGACAAAAATATTACTCTGTAATGTCTTTTTTAATGTTTTATTGTTTGGTCCACTGTACTCTGATCAAACTCATATATTAACTAGACTAGCTCAATCTAATCTAATCTAATTTAAATAATTGCCAAATAAATGGCGGGCAAACTCATCCAATCGACACCAGAGAGAGAAAGAGAACTCAATCGATGAGAGAGAGAGAACCCAATCGACACCATACAGAGAGAGAAGAATTAAAAATATGTCTCATGAATAAAAAAAATGTGTCATGAGTAAAAATCTTGAAAGATATTTTTTGCAAAAATATGACGCTTTCCTTTGACCTAAATAAGTATTTTTTATTGACTTTTTTTTTTTTTTTTTTTGAGTTGTAAGAGACCTATGTCATTTAAACCACAAATAATATTTTTTTTTTGAATGTTACTGGCTTTATTACATTGTAGTATAGACTCTACAATACTGAAGTTCGAACTCACAACCTTTCAAATGAAAGTTCAACCCAGGTACAATTAAACCACATAGTCTTGGTAAACCACAAATAATATAATCAAATGAAATTTGATTGACTTTTTTTTTTTTTTTTTTTGAATTGAAAGAGACCTATGTCATTTAAACCACAAATAATATAATCAAATGAAATTTGATTGATTCCACATCACAATTAACAAGAGATTATTCTTCCAAAGGTTGAACTCCAACTCTAGAGTTTGAACCCTCCACACTCCGTCCTGACTCCTGACAGAGTATTTGGGAGGATGTAAATCATGATAACTCAACTAAACATAAACCATAGAGACTAGACATTTGCTTACTGCGCACGACGAGTCCTCCTCACAAAAAGAGATTATTCATATACATGTGTGAAGTGAAGTGATAATGTGATATAGCTTAGTCCTCACCCGACGTGTCCTGGTTAATTTCCTCAAGAATTACAACCAAAGCCACTATGAAGGCATAATCAACGTTGGGATAAACTGTGACCCCGAAATGTTCTTTCCCCAGAAATATGCTCCCTGCCGTGTGCTTCTTGTGCATCTGGGCAACAATGGCCGACGACTCTCCCGCGTAGATCACGCACGATCGTTCCATCCAGCTCCCCTTTATGTGGAAATCACACACCTCTCCTTTCGTGTTGCCCGCCAGGAACACATCCAGCTTCGTCTTCAGTTGAAACAGCGACGATTTCTTCACGCTGAACAGCAGATCTTTCGGATCTGTGCTCTCTCCCCTGAACGCTTGCCATCTTCTGTGAGCGGTCAATATCTTTTGCTGGAAAGTGACGATGGGGTTGTCGAGGGTGTCGACCAAGACGCGGTGATCGCGGAGGCTGAACAGTTTGCTTTTCACCTTGAACATGACGGCGCCGTTGATGTCGAGGACTTCGAACTTGCCTTCCTGGAGAGTCATCACCTTTCTCACCACCGCCAAATCCACCGGGTAGGGAACGATGAACTGTGGGCTGATCACCGCCGCCACCACCACCGGCTGAGGTGGGTACGAGGTGGAAACTTCGGTCATCATTGTGTGAATTGAAGGAAGATCGAGAGAGCTGAATTAGGATTGGGAATGATGTTGCGCCAATCCTTTTTGGGAAGAATTTATATGTAAGAAACAAGGGGCGGGGTGGCCTGGGTTGATAATCAAATATTAAATAATTTTAAAAAATACTTTCAAAAAGTATTATCCGAATTTTCAAACCGACTAAAAGAAAATGCATTATTTTCCATAGTGGACCAAATTAAAACTTGATTATATGCTGGAACCAATCAAACGTCAAAATATGGAAAATGATATTCCCACTCAAAAAAAAAAAGTTATTTACGTGGAATTTTCAATTTTGTTTCCAAAATTTGACAATACCCAAATGGAATTTTTGTGAGGTCGTTTTAATTTTCAACAACAAACTGTGGAGACCGGCATTATGATTTGCATAGTCATCCACTTACAGGAGACAAATCAGACAACGGCACTATTTGGTAAATGACTGTTAACTGATTAGATTAATTAGAAAGTATAACTAGTTAATAACGTTAACTAATTGTAGAAATGTGTTTGATAAATTAGCTGTTAGCGGATAGTTGTTGGTATAATTTCTTTTCTTAAAAAGTTAATTGAAAAAGTTACTTTGAACAACTTTTTGAATGTTAGCATTTTGGAGTTACAAAAATCTAATTAACTCAACATTTATATTGATTTTTTTAATCAAGTCAAATAATTAATAGTGGTCAAATAAATTAAAATTGACTGACAAGGTAACTATTTTACCAAACATGGCGAATAATATCTATAGAAAATTATATCCATCTGTTATATTTTTGATAAATTCATACAAAGAAAAGTAAATCTTTTTTATTTTCAAATACTAAATCTGCAACATCAGGATTCAATATTTTACTAGTTTAGAGTACCTGAGGGTTATACAGTTTTATTAATTCAGTTAGGGAAAAGGGTCAAATAGGCCCTCAAATATTTGCTAAAGAGTCAATTAGCTCCTTCAACATTTTAAAGGTGCAATTACACCCATAAACAATGCATTTTGATGCAATGAAGCCTAAATATAGATAAATGACCTGCTATCATAAGTCATTGAAGATTCGGTCATTTTTCAACGTATTTTAGGAGGAAAATGAGTCTGGTGAAAAATTGAAGATGAGAAAATAAAGTTAAGCAACCTTAATTGAATTTGGTGTAAAGAGAATAAAATTTGGTCCGAATTAGATTCACTATATAAGACACCCGGCCTTAAAATACAGTAATGTATGAAGAATGAAATTGATATTATTCAATCAATTTAATTTGGTCTAAAGAGAATAAAATTTTATTTCTTTTTTTTTTTTTACATAATCATTTTGTGTCCATATAGTGAAGGAAAAAAAGTGTTATGAGATGGATAAGTGAATCATATATCTAAATTGTTAATCCAAACTTCACACCAGATTACCAAATGGAGTGTATGGTTTTTGGGATGATGCCCATCCAAACTGTTGAAATGCGATGTCCATAACCATTGATTGGGCAAACCACTCATGCTTCATAATTCATCAAAGTATCCATTTTTTATGATATTATGATTTATAACATATAAGAATCACTAAATAAACTATAGTATGACTCTTCCTTGCATGCAACCAATATCACAAAAATTCAGTGTTCTAAAATAAGTGTATAAATGCAATATCGATCTAGATAATCTGCATTACATTATATATCATTAATTTAATTACATGCTAGTCAGTTATTGCAAATCTTGAGGTACACTTATATTTTGATATTAAGTAAGTTTAACTATATTAGGGAGAAATTCACCTGGGACTCTGGGAGACATGGAATAACCACTTGAGTGTTTGTTGGCTGACCACAGAGCGTTGATATCCCCGGGTCAAATAACAACGCATCAACCAGAATCTTATAGAGCTTTTCCTTGTATCCTGGCAGATAGGTCGGAGGTAGAGACAAAAATAGATGCTATTACTAAATTACTAAACAATAAGGAAAAGTAACAGGAATAACATGGAAGAATAGACAATATTCAATAGTAGAATTATTCTTTGCTTTTGAGAATATTTATACTGAAATTTTAATAGTCAAATAACGGCCTGTAATTTTATTAAAAATTATGAATTACAGATTCTTTGCCTTTTTTTTTTTTTTTTTTTATATATATACAATCTTCCTTATATTCATATCCATTACATTAATTAGTAAATTTTCTAAACATTATGGCTGCTTGAATTCTGGATCCTTATTATTATTCCATTTCCTGGTTCCGTTTCTTTTTCCAGGTAAGTTAATTTTGTTTCCATTTCCATTTTTTCTTTTGTACTGCTAACATTATTAATAATAATTAGTGAATTATGGATCATTTTTTATTTTCATTTTCTATTGTTTCCTCGATAATGTTTCCTTTTCTATTGTTTTGGTTGAAGTGTTTGGGCGGGAATGCACGAAAGAAAGATTTTGTTTTTAATTATAGTATACTTTTAATTGTAGTATAGATGTCAAACATTATGATTTATTTTTTCCTAAAACAAAATTAAAGATAATAAATAATGTATGTCTTGTAGCAGTCAGCCAGTCAATTTAAATGAGCACCTTTCTTCTATGGCGATTATATGACTCATCAACCAGTATGCACGTTTATTTGAAATCAAGTTTGTATGTTTAGTTTTCTTTTCTTTTGAAAATGGGGTTAAGGCGTCAATTTTACTTCGAAGACTTAGAATTTGATTCCTTGACTTGTTATTTATAATGTTCAAGACTTTTGTTAATACTGAAACACAAAGAACCAATAACATCTCCACTGAGGCTCGAACTCACAACCTTCCAAATAGAAGTTCAACTTGGGTACCATTAGACCATATAATCTTAGTATACTGTATATTTATTTATTCTCGATAATCTATATTTTTTTTAACAAACTTATTTTGAAAATTTCCTTACGTTTTTACTTAAAAAGTTAAGGTCTATGTAAGCCACCAAAACACTACTTTTAGCCATGTTAGGTTGTTGAAATGGCAATCATAAGATTATATGTTCGACTTCTATCGGAAGTGATATATTAATCTTTTTTATTTGAGTCAATTAGTTATGAACAATCTAGATTGGTTTACCTTCTTGTGGTCAATTGTCAACTAGGGTCACATACAAAGTGAAATTTATCCACTATACACTATCGGATCATAGATACGGGTTTCCCTCTTCACTAAAAAAAATTAATTATTTGTTAATTTGGTTATTAAAAAAAGTAAGTTAACTAAATTAACCAATATGTAATCTGTTAAAGAATTTACTAGTGCGTGTGTATGTAAATTGTAATGAATATTTTGTGTTGTGGAATTATATACGTATTATATTGATGCATTAAAATTATAACTAAATTACTTGCCAAACTTTTATTTATGATATTTCAAAAATTTTAAATTTGATTAATATTATTTTGATCGGTAAATTATGTTGTGCATCTGTGTGCACCATGCATGGTGCACACGGATGCAAAAACGACGTCGTTTTGACTAAAAACACGCGTCCAACTTTAAAAAAATTCTGGATTTATAGTTATGAAATTATGGATGTATAGTTATGCAATTCTGGATTTATAGTTATGCAATTCTGGATTTATAATTATGAAATTATGGATATGTAGTTATGCAATTCTGATTGTATATATAGTTATGAAGTTATGCAATTCTGGATTTATAGTTATGAAGTTATGGATGTGTAGTTATGCAATTCTGGATGTATAGTAATGGAGTTATGGATGTATAGTTATGCAATTCTGGATTTATAGTTATGAAATTATGGATGTGTAGTTATGCAATTCAGATTTTTTTTTTTAAGTGGACGTCAAAACGACGTCGTTTTTGCATGCATGGTGCACACGGATGCATAACATAACGACTTATTTTGATCAATCTATCAATTGTCTGGGAAAAGAATTGATTTGGTTAATGTGATGGTAGAATCAGACCAAAGTGGTGTGTGCGTGCATAACGAATTAATTAACATAATTAACATGGCATATATGTACAAACATTATTAATTTTATAATAGTAAAATGATAAAGTAGTTTCCATTATATATGTGTCTCTTTCTGGAATTCTTCTATATGTTTGTAGCTGTTTATATGACATAGGGCTGTCTTAGCTTGTATAATAAAACATATAAACATATATAAACAAGAGCACATTATGCTTTGAAAATAAACTGAATTTACAAACACATTTGTGAATTATTCTTCCTTAATTCTTCCTTGAATCAAAAACCTAATCCCAAACACCGTAGTTTTTGTTATCACTAGCATCTCGATCATACCAAATAGAAATCATCATCAGCCAATGTTAGTTTGAGCTAGCGCTCAACTTAAAACTAAATGTGAAAATATGTGGTCATGTATATTTGTCAAGAAAGGCAACCCTACATGTATATTTATATTACTTAGGTAATTCAATAACTGTTGTGAAATTAATTGCAGTAATGTACGTTTGAAATACTCACTCAAATAGATCAGATAGGGGATAAAATGATGGTTTAGTATGGGACTTACCTTGAATAGTGTAAAAATTTATGAATTCAAAAACTCAAGACCAAACAACTAGCTTAACTAAAGTGATGTATGTCATTTATAAATAAATTGAGAAAATCCATTTCCTTAATTGGATGGCATCACAGAAAGTTGATGCATAGTTGGCTGCTAAGCTATCTTTGGAACCAACATAATAAATTGTGTGTTTGTGGAGTGGAGAGTCAAGTGTCCAACATATCTTTCAAAAGAATACCATTGGTTGTTGAGAGTGAGGATGAAGAAATATATGCACGTAACAAGGTCACCCCGGTGTTTCCCATGCATAATCACTTCTATTGTTTCTGATCCATGGAGAAGCTATTTAGATCCATGGAGGTAATTGTTGTTGCCTAAGCCTAACTTGTATCACGTTCTTCATTGCTCCATTAAGCCTATGAAATTATGAATGCTCTATATCAATATGTTGTTCCTTCAGGGTATGCAAATGTACTCCAGGGAAGATCTGATGAACCAAAACTTCGGTGGCAGAGGATTACCAAAGGAATTAAAGATGCAACCAAGAGTGTGAAGGAACATAGTACCAGGTTGTCTTACAGATTAAGGACAAGGAACAATTACAGAAGCCTAAGTCCAGTAAAGCTCAACTCTGATCTAGTGGCCAACAATTGATGATAGGATGTGTGAGATTGTTAGTGAAGGCTTTTCTCATTTCTCCTTTCCTATTTGTAACTTTTGAGTTTTGATAGCAATTCAATCAACACTGCCAATATAGGAACTGCATGTTTTTTTTTTTTTTTTGGCTCAACATGAAAATATATAAAGTGGGAGCACCCTTAGCTTTTTCCATTTCTTGGACCAATCTACACTTAGAATGTTTACAAACACATTTGCATATTCCTTAATTACTAATTTCGAAGAAAACATTATGAATGACTGCAAATTAAATTGCACCAGCAAATAGCATTTAATCCTTGATCATTGTTAAGATACCAGAGACAAAGTTGTTTGTTCAACTTTGTATGGGGAGGAAAAGAATTGTTGTTGCACCAACAAATATATACCATGTAATCCTTAAGATCTATCAAGCCATCAACATCCACATGTTGTCACCGCATTCTGTAATATTGAGTTCTAGACACAATATAATGCAATGACAACTGCCATTTAACTAGTATGTACTTTAGCAGTAATTATATCCAAGTGAGGATGATTCTTGTTGCTATGTGAAACAGTGACGCTCTCTACTATGGCCTCCCCTTGGCAAATGGTTAGAACGTCTTCCAAATAGAGAGCCGTTTGTTTCCAATGTGGTACCAGGCAGTCAGGCATGGATAATGTATCCGCAACAAGCTTCAATTCAAAGGATGCATCTCTTGCACCCATCTTGCAGTTGTACATTGTCTGTAAATGCAAAAATATTCATTATCAGTGAAAATATGAAAAATTATATATAGACATGCAAGAGATGAGCAAAAACTCGATCACAACTCAAGATATATCTAAGATTAGGTTTTATAATCAACATGAATAATGGGTCTTACCACCTTCATTAATTGCATTTCATAACAACAAGCTAAGAGGTTCCACATTGCCTACTTCCTTCTTCCAAACTGCAATTTCCAGTAAATGCATCTAGTTTTAGACGAAAGCAAACAATGTAGAAAGCTAAGCCCCATATATAACTTAAATATATAGATGCTAGTCAACGACTCTTTGCACACGTACACTTATGCTGAATACTACTCAATATAAAATGTTGAAGCTCAAGCCATATCGTGGTGCACCAGCTCACGTTCATTCTTGTCCTTCATAGTCATCATCTTCAAGCGCTGTCAAGTACTGTAAAGAAAAGCTTTATCTGGAATCCAGCACGACTCCATCTTATACCTTCAATACAAGCCAACAATTTAAGATAGCAGTACTGGAATCTTTAAATGTGTGTGTTGGTAAATTAAGAAGAATAGAAATAAAGACTTGAACCTAAAACCTGATCTGAAACAGAGTAGTTTTTGTTTTCCACCAAGTAGAAATCATCATTTGTCCTAACAATTCATTATAAGAATACTTACTGACCACTTGCCAATAGCATAAAGGACTATTTATTTTCACAATTTCTTGTGCCATATCAGCCAATGTTTGAGCTCTCAACCTAAAAATGCAAAAATATCTGGTCATGTATATTTGTCAAGAAAGACCATCCTACTACGTCTCCTGTAGAATCATAGCTCACTACAATAACTGTTGTGGAATTACATGTAGTAACGTAGGTTTGAAATACTCACTACAAATAGATAGGGGGATAAAATTATGGTTTAATATGAACTTACCTTGAATAGTGTACAAATTTATGGATTTGGAAATTCAAGACCAAAGAACTGGCTTGAGGTGATATCAGGGGAAAAATTGGGAAAATCCCTTTCCTTGGATAGTAACATAGAAACTTGTTGCATAGTTGGCCGATATTGTGGATTGGAATTCATACAAGATATTGCTATCTTTGCAACCAACACGAGTTGTTGTGTAACATTTCTATTTGGAGTAGGTAGTCGAGGATCTAACAGATCCTTAAAAAGCATGCCATCAATTGCTGAAAATGAGGATGAAGAAAGGCATGTAATGAGCTCACCATAATCACTTCAAGTGTTACCACTACAAAGCTATACACATCACATTTGCAGTTTACATCAACAGTGTAAGCTAACTCTGCAAATAAATGCCTAAAATATTAGAGCACATATAAGGTCAAAGGGTAAGAAAAGAGAATAACAAGAAAGAGTAGTGTTGTAGACCTGGAGCTGTGTATCCCATGGTTCCAACAAATGTAGTCCAATTTCATGAATCAGGGCTCAAAAATCTTGTTGTCCCAAAATCAGATACATGAACTTCATTCTCAGAGTCGAATAGAATATTGTTGCTTGATATGTCTCGATGAATAACAGGAGGTATACAATCATGGTGCATGACCACATTTATCCTTTCCAACCATCCCAACTGGATTGCTTTCTCATTATCACTCAAAATTTGTGCTAGACTCCCCCCTTGTAAATACTCATAAATCAAGAATGAATGTCTATTGTGAGCACAAAAGCCATAGAGCTTCACAATATTCCGATGCCTCAAATTTGTTAATGTGCTGAAGCTGAAGCTGAAAGCATATGCTAGTCAATCTTCTCCTCCATCTTCACTTGCTGTCAAGTAGAGATAGATAAGCTTTATCAGGAAGCACGGGAGCGGAGCATCTATTTGTACCTTCAATTCGAGCCAGCAATGAAGTTCGGATAGATAGCAGTACAGCCATACACAAATATAATGCATGCCTAGAAGGGGTGTGCGTTGGTAAATTAATTAAGAGGAACAGAGATCATGGCTTGAATCCAGAACACCGGCATGATCCCAAACAAAGTAGTTTAGTTTTTTGTATTTCACCAAATTCTAACTGCATTTGCCCTTCAGCATTTCCTGCTTGCATGCAACAGAGAAAACGTAAAATTAGATGAAACCAGGCCAGTGGATATATATCTAAGAAAACAGCACTCAAATTTCCAATTAGGGTGCATAGAGACAGTAAGATAAACAAGGCACATGAAACGATGAAAGAACCATACATCCATGTATGTCAGATAATTTATGAACTATAAAAATGGACTTCTATAAATTGATTCATATATAGAAACTAGATTTGAGTATTTTATTTGACAGCAAACACTGCCAGCCATTAAACATGTATATAAAAATGGACTTCTTTTTCTTTTGTGTTTGGACTTCATGTGAGAGGGATATATAAAACAAAATTTACCAAAGTGGAGTAGGAGTCGAAGGAGTACTTAGCACTGGTCATATCACTCCCTATAGTTTACACTATATCTTCTGCCATTAGTTTGTGATCCCTACCGATCTGAAGAAAACACATGCATAAGGGTAATGAAGTTGACCAGTACCCATATATGGATTTGCAGGCAGATTTGTTTTCCCATGAATTATATAAACTTTGAATAATTCATCACCTGAAAATCAAGCACCGAAAGATTAAGCTACTAAATTGGGCATTGAAGATAATTATACAAATAAAATACCATAATACAACCAAACTAGTCCACCAGATCAGATCAACAACCTTTTGCATTTTGTTTATTCAAAACAGATCTTTAATTAAGTAAAACTAATAACCATAATCACAATTCATAAGCATTCACATATCACAAATAGGCATAGATAGCGATAAAACTTGTTTAAGATAACATACTTTCAGTGGTGTAAAATTCATGGAATATAGTAGCATATTTCATACGAAGCAATTCAACTGCCTGCCTAATTGTGATCTCTTTCCTTGGATATAGAAGCAACAGAGAAACTTGAAAACAGCAGTGCAGTGAATGATGCATCTCCAGCATCCATCTTAGCGATGTCCATAGTCAATCTGTAAAAGCAAATGTGTTATAGACATGCAAGAGATGAGCAAAAACTCAGAAATCAAGAAATAGCTAATATTATTAGATTCTATAATCAACATGAGAGGGCATTGGGAATTGAATGCGACCTTGTTTGACTGGCAGTTGGTTACCATTTGTTTCTGATCGATCTACGTATTCATCTTAAAACCACAGACATTATTGTTCCAAACTGCAATGTCCAGTAAATAGCAATAGTTTTATACAAAAGCAACAAATGAAGGCAGCTAAGCCCTATATATAACTCAAATAGATAGGGATAAAATGATAGTTTAGTATGAACTTACCTTGAATAGTGTAAAAATTTATGGATTTGAAAATTCAAGACCAACCAACTGGCTTAAGGTGATATCTGGGGAAAAATTGGGAAAATCTCTTTCCTTGGATAGCAACATCAAAACTTGTTGCATAGTTGGCCGATATTGTGGATTGGAATTCATACAAGATACTGCTATCTTTGCAACCAACACGAGTTGTTGTGTGACATTTCTTTTTGGAGTAGGTAGTCGAGGATCTAACAGATCCTTAAAAAGCATGCCATCAATTGCTGAAAACGAGGATGAAGAAAGGCATGTAATGAGGTCTCCAGGATGTTTCCCCATAATCACTTCAAGTGTTACCACTCCAAAGCTATACACATCACATTTGCAGTTTACCTCTACAATGTAAGCAAACTCTGCAAATAAATACCAAATATATTAGAGCATATCGATCAAAGGTCAAAGGGAAAGAGAATAGCAAGAAAGGAAATATAATGGTGCAGACCTGGAGCTGTATATCCCATGGTTCCAGCAATTGAAGTCCAATTTGATGAATCAAGGCTCAAAAATCTTGCTGTCCCGAAATCGGATACATGAGCTTCATGCTCAGAATCGAACAGAATATTTTTGCTTGATATGTCCCGATGAATAATAGGAGGTAAACAATCATGGTGCATGTACGATAAAGCTTTAGCCACAGCTTTGACCACATTTATCCTTTCCAACCATGCCAACTGGAGTGCTTTCTCATCATCACTCAAAATTTGTGCTAGACTCCCCCCTTGTAAATACTCATAAATCAAGAATGAAAGTTTATTGTGAGTACAAAAGCCATAGAGCTTCACAATATTTCGATGCCTCAAATTTGTTAATGTGCTTATCTCATTTGAAAAACTTCTGAGATCATGCCACCTTTCATCATCTTGCAGGTCTAATGTATGAAACTTCTTCACGGCAACTATCTGACCACTAGAAAGCTCAGCCCTAAACACACTTCCATACCCTCCTACACCAATGCAATAACTAGAGTCGAAGTTCCCTGTTGCTTCAATTATGCTTTCATATGTCATCTTTCCATCAAAGCTCCATACTGTGAACAAATCTTTAGTAAAATCTCTTTCCTCCTCCACTCTATTACTCTTTTGTCGTGGAAAAATAACAAAAATGATAATAACCACTGTCAATAGAAGGAAACTTCCCAAGACTACTGATATGATTACAACCAAATTTTTGCTTTTGCCGTCACTTTGGCTGAGCGAGGAGCAAGGCTTTAAGCTGGAATGATTGCCACATAAACCTTTGTTATTACTTAAGGCGGAATATGGTGCTTGTAAAAATGCTTTGGTGTTAGGGATAGGACCTTCCAACTGATTGTAAGATATATCAACTGAAACTAATGCTGCACATTGAGCAATGCTTGATGGGATGGAGCCTGACAAATTATTGTGTGATAAGTCCAATGTCTGTACGTTTGATAATCCTCCAATTTGTGGTGGTATCTGAGCAGAGAACATGTTGTGACTGAGATCAAGATTTTCAAGGAATTTAAAGCTTAACATGCCAGGAGGAATCTTGCTGGCAATCATATTTCTGCTCAGATTCAATGTAATTAGGCGTTGGCATCTTCCAATTTGTGGGGGAATTGAGTCAACAAACTTATTAGAAGCTAAGTCTAGGTGTTCAAGCAAAGATAGTTCCCCTAATTTTGGTGTTATGTTGCCAAAAAGCTTGTTATTATCTAATATTAGCACATATAAGAAGCTCAACTTTCCCAAGCTTTCGGGAATCCTTCCAACCATTTGATTTGATGAAAGATCAAGATACCGCAGTTGAGATGCATTGCCAAGATCAAGTGGGATATTTCCAGAAATTCTATTGCCCGCCATCTTTAAACTAGTAAGTTTTGAACAAAGAACCCAATTGGAAGACAGTTGGCCATAAAAGTAATTTTGACTCAGATCTATGTAATTTAGGCTTGGGTATATTCCAAAATCTCTTGATATGTCTCCGTAAATCTCATTTTTGTCGAGCCTGACCCTATAAAGGGTTGTACAATTTTTCAGGCTTTTAGGAATCTTTCCACTAAATCTGTTGTGATCAATAGTTAAGTTCTTTAGTGACTGGCCAAGACATAAATTATTTGGCAAAGAACCAGTGAGATGATTATCACCAACATGAAACTCACTTAAATTAGTGATATTGTCAAACTCGGATGGAATTGTGCCATTGAGGTTATTTGAAAACAACCACACCCCTTGAAGAGATTTCAATTTCCCCAATTCCTTGGGGATGGATCCATAGAGTTGGTTCTCAGATAAACCTAAGTTTATCAACTTTGACAAGTTTCCTATTTCTAAAGGGATATTGCCAGAAATTTGATTTTCGTCAAGATAAATGATTGTCAAATTTCTCAAGTTTCCAATTGAGATCGGAATTTGACCAACGAGTTTGTTTGACCGGAAATTTATCACGGCAAGTGAAATTAATGACCCAATTTCTTGAGGGATGTGACTTGACACATTGTTTCTTTCAAGATTCAACCATTTTAAATTTTGAAGGTTCCCGATTGAGCAAGGAATTTGACCACTAAGATTATTTGAAGGCAACCATAACTCTTGAAGAGATGTCAACTTTCCTAACTCCTTAGGAATGGATCCAGAGAGCTGATTTTCCCATAGAAATAAATATACCAACATTGACAAGTTCCCAAGTGAGATAGGAATTTGACCACTAAGGTTATTTGAATACAACCATAACCCTTCAAGAGATGTTAATTTTCCTAACTCCCTAGGAATGGATCCATAGAGTTGATTTTTAGATAGAGATAAATGTACCAACATTGTCAGGTTCCCTATTTCTGGAGGGATCTTACTTGAAAGATTATTGAGGCCAAGATGCAACTCTTTTAAGTTTTTCAAGTTCCCAATTGAAGTAGGAATTGGGCCACTAAGAGAATTTTCGTCCAATCTCAACTCCACAATTGATACTAACAATTCAATTTTTCGAGGAATGTGTCCTAAAAATTGATTATTGCTCAGATCCAAAGTTGTTAAATTTTTCAAATTGGACATTTCTTCAATAAAAGAAATGTTACCATGGAAAGAGTTGGCAGACAAATCAAGAATTTCTAAAGAGGACAAAGATAAAAAGTTTAAGCCCCCGAGCGTACCTTGTAAACCATATCCAGTAAGGTTCAAGGATGTAATGCTTCCATCAAGGTTGCAGTTAATTCCAGTCCAATTGCAGTGGGTGCCACCAACAACGTTAACCCATGATGACAATAGTTTTTGAGTTTTGAGGTCAAGGCTAGACTTCCATGTCAACAAAGAAGCCACTTCTAATTCATTTGCTTGGAGCAAAGAATGGGTGTTTGTAGTGTTGAAATGGGAAGCTGAAATTGGATGAAAGGCAAAAAGGTATATAATAAGCAGGAGGAGGAGGAGGAGTGTTATATTTTCGGGATTTGCCATTATGAAAGCTAAGGATTGATGACACACATGCAGTACTACAAATGGTGCAAATAGTTGTATTGGGTGCGTGGAAAAGGAACAAACATATGGGAGTATATATAGATTTTGTTTGTATATACTGGATCGGATTATATTGGATTTATGATGCAACACTAATGACTATTTTCTATTTTATTTTATTTTTATTTGAAAAAATGTAATAAATTTAAAATGTATGTTTTGGGTGATAAGGAAACTCATAGTTAGTATAGTAAGTAATAATTAACTTAGAGTTTAGATCACTTTTAATCCAATTACATGAATTTGGACTGTTTAGATAGTTAATTGTTTTTTTTTTTACAATTGACTGATTTTTTTATTTTTTTTTTGGCACTATAAAAAACAACTAAATTCTCACCCCAAAATCAATTGATTTAAGAAGGTAGAAAACTAGGGAACATAATGCTTTCTTTCTTCAGCCAACATAAAAAGATGAGAGTTCAAAGGCAAATGCCGCATATATATGCATCAAATGGACATCCACTTCGCCGCTATAATATCAACAAAACTGTATTTCCTATTTCAAAGCCTTACCATTTGTAGCCATAAATCCATAATGAGTGATTTAATTACAATTTTATGTGTAATTATGTGACTTATTTAACCCTTATGGTTTTAAATGAATCAAATTGTGGATATAACTAATTTGTAATCAAGGATTCAAGTGGTGTTAGAAGGCTCACAAGTCACAAAGTCTTTGGGAGCATGTTGTAATTGGTACGGTACTGTTGTGGGGTATAGTCGTATAGATAAGAGAGTATTTGGTAAATGGTTGTTAGATGATTGGATTAGTGGGTTTAACTAGTTGATAACATTAGTTGATTGTAGAAAAGTGTATGGCAAATTAACTGTTAACGGTTAGCTGATAACATACAAAATGATTTTCTCAAAAAGCTAAAAAAAAAAAAAAAAAAAAAAAACTACTTTAAGCAATTTTTTTTTTATTTTAACATTTTGGAACAATAAATTGTTAAAAATGCTAATTAATCAAACACTCATAATGGTCAAATAAATTAAATTTGACTGATAAGCTAATTATTTTACCAAACAGGGCCAAGAAGACTTAAATTCTTTGGCCTTTTAAGTCTTTTTGCATCTTGTGTTGCACCGTCAAAGGGGTTATAAGAACTAATAAGTGTATAATTGGGAGGTCCAGAAAATAAAGTTATGCACGGTACATTTGAAAGCAACTTATATAGATGTGAGCTTCACTTTGGAGCGTATAACACTTTGATTCTCAATTTACTTGTTGATGTCAATGTTTAGATTTTTTTGCAACATTTATTCTGATCTCTCCACTTACTCTCCTAATAGGCAATTTATATCCTGCACCACGGCGCGTGTTGCATTATGCGCCCAAATGCAAAATGACGTCGTTGGAATTTTTTATTTTTTTTTTAAATTTCGCTACCCAGTGTTTGACAGTTAATTTTCCTTAAAAAAAAATCTCATGTTCAAAAATGTACATAATGTTATACTAGAATACACATAATTGTATACATGAATATACATAATTATATAACAAAATACACATACTCTTTTTTAAAAGATAATACACATAATCTAACATAATACATGATAAACATAAACTTTTAACATAATACACATCAACTCTTAACATAATACACAAAAGTTTCCTGATTCGGATGTACATAATTGTATAAAAAAATGTACATAATAAAAAATATACATAATTATATAAACAAATATACATAATCATGCATGTCAACTTCCTACCGCGCTTCTCAAAACGACGTCGTTTTGAGAGGCGCGGGGCGCACAGTACACTGTGCGCCGTGGTGCAGAGTATAACGATTGCCCCTAATAATATACGGCTGATTTTTATTAAAAAAAAAATAATGTGTACAAAAATAAAGGTGTTGCTGGAATCAAAATCATCTTTAAAAGTGTACGAATCACTTTTCGATAAGTCTTTAATTAATCACCCTCACTTAACCAATATTAAAATTTATAATGAGATAAAAAAATATATACAAAATACCTTAGCATGTTATGATATAGGCTTAGACTACATCAAATTTAGTTTTAAATTTTAATAAAGCTTTTTTTTTTTTTTTTTTTTAATGCTACTAGCTCTATTACATTGTAGTATCTGTTCATATACTTTCTCAACCTACTGAAACACAAAGAGCTAATAACGCCTCCACTGAGGCTCGAACTCACAACCTTCCAAATGGAAGTCCAACCCGAATATCATTAGACCACATAGTCCTGGTTAATAAAGCTAATCATCATAATATGTAAACGAATTATATTACTTTTTTTTTTCTTTTTAGAAAATGAAAATTTTTTCCTTGAATTATATGCTTATACTATTTTTTACTGAAATTATTCATATATCAACATTATCTTCCTCAATTATTTCAAAAGTGATGATTTTCACTTCATTTATGTTAAATAGGTGTTTGGACGGTTAAAATTAGGACAAAATAAGTATTTCAAGTCACTATCATTCTCCAACAAATTATTACTTATATGTGCGAATCATAATAAATGCAAAAAATAACAGACATCATATGCAAATATTATAATTATAATTATAATTTTAATCTAATGCTAGTAATATAATTAAGACTTAAACACAAATTTAGCAATAATGAATTATTGGTGTTCAAGTCTTAACTCTTTTACTAGCATTAAGTTAAAATTATAACTCTAATATTTATAAATGGTATATGTTTTTTTTTTTTTTCAAATTTGCTTCCACATATATAAAATAATTTATTTGCAAAAAAGTAACTTGAAATACATATTTTTACCCTCTACACCAAACTTCCTAATATGATTCCATTTAATTTTTTTTACTCTCTGCATCAAACTTCCTAATATGTATGGATTCATATCTAGAGCAAAATATAAAATTAAATATTAAATTTCAGATCAATACAATCTTAACAAGCAAAACATTTAATTTAAATTTAATAAGTATTGCATTTATTCCATTACATTTGTGATAAACATCCATCTAATATTTTAACACTCATCAATAATTTAAATGAGTCAAATATTGAATATAATTATTTTGCACGTCAAAAGGGGTAAGAAGACTCATAAAGTCTTTGGTGGTATGCTTCATGCTTGTATAGTAGCAATTGAAAACTCCAAAAGCAAGTTTGAAAATATATCATTATTGGAGAGGTTGATATAACTAACTTAAGGCGTGAGCTTCACTCTGGATGCTAAAATTTTGATTTCTAGCATAGCTAGTTGATGGACAAGATACTAATGTTTTGGACATTCGGTAATAATAATAAGAAGGTGCTTGCATAACTTTATTAACTATAGGTCTAATATACTTGCACTCGTGCTTGATATATTTAATTTTTTATGACAGTATTATCAAAGTTTGACGTGGACTATGATTTATGATAATTTTCCATTTAATCTTTATATGTGTATTCCTTCCTTATACCATGGACCAGGATTTATAGTGTACTGTGGATCTTGGTTCATGTGTATATGTTTTGTGTTGTGATTTTTTTTGTCTTGCGTTATGAAATAATATAATGTCTCTTAAGAGTATGAATTTTGTACTTGGAACAGATTAGTAGCTGTGTCTTATGTTATAAATTTTTGTGCATGTCTTGTGTTATAAATGTTTGTGTCTTGTGTCGCAAAATTTTGTGCCTATATATGAACATAAATTATGTACTTAAATCAGATTTGAAAAATAAGTAAATATATAACATGTATATGTGTCTTGTTTTATGAAATTTTGTATTTTACGAGTATGAATTTTGTACCTCGTCATTTCAATCCAGGATTTATAATGTTACGTGTCTTAGCTTGTATTGTGATTTTTGTTTGTGTTTCATTGTAGTTCTTTTTCATCATCACTCAAATGTGTGCCAGGCTACCCCTTATTAATAGTACTCATAAATCAAGAATGAAATGTCTCTCGTAAGTACAAAAGCCGTAAAACTTTACAATATTCCAATGCCTCGCATCTGTTAATGTGTTTATCTCATTTGAGAAACTTCTACGATCAAGCCTCCCATCATATCGCATGCCTAATGTGTGATTCAACAATCAGACCACTTGGTAGCTCGACCCTATACACACTTCCATATGCCCTCTTACAGCAATGCAATATTCTGTTACTATACACATACACTTTAGTAACAGAATATTTCGTCAAATATTTATTATTTTAATTTACTCATTAATTTTCATAAGGAAATTCTTAGGTTCGAACCTCATCTCAATTAAAATTGACATAATTGTTAAACATATATATAATGAATATGTTAAAGTATATTTAAAAAAATACAATATAAAATTTAACATGAACTTTGGTAAATTAATTAGAATCACGCATTGAGCATTGATGAAACGGTACACCTAATTTACAGTATCAACTGAGAAACTATGCCTATTATCATTGTCTTTTTGAGAAGGAGGATTTGGTTCTGTTTTTGAATGTGCACTGTGCCAAGACACTAAAATTGCTGTGAAGCACACTAGGGGACTAGATCAAATCAAGAATTCATTTCTAACGGAAGTGACAATAAGATGAAGTATGAATCATGCCAATTAATAGGGTTTCATGTTCAAAAACTATGCGGTACTATCCAGTGAGGGTTATTCCCTCGAAAATTAGTATTGCACCAGTTTTTTTCTTTTTTTGAAGAAAGAATTGCACCAGTTAATCCAACATTTATGTCACAGGTCATAGTTACGTATTCTTGAAATATTTATTTTTATGAAAAATTTGATAATTCTGTATTGATATACGCTAGCTATGATACTGAATGATAGTTTGATAAATTATGAAACAGTAATTTAAAAATACACATTGGACATCAGATTATTCACGCAATGCGCGAGTGGGAACTAGTCTATATAATAGTACGCAATTACGTAATAGTGGGCACTTCAGTTGGTCACAGGATGAAATTTGAGAACAATGACTCGAAATTGAGTCTCACCAACTATTCTCCTAGATACTTTGTGTGACCTGGTTGTGGGGACTTTCGGGGTTGGAGATTCAACCTTGTGGAAATAATAGTGTGCAATTATTACGGGAATGAGAGTTGGTGGTGTAGTAATAAACTGACAAAGAGGTATAATAAGACACAAATTAAAGACCTACTCGTGTTCTACAGAACAAAGTTGATTAATTCTGAGAAGACTTTTAACTTCCACCGTCAAGGGGTTGCTGCTCATACCACATAAGGCTGTCTTGTATAATAAAACATAAACAAGAGCAGACTGTGCTTTGAAAATAAACTGAATTTACAAACACATTTGCATATTCCTTAATTACAAATTTTGAGACAAAAAAAGATTATGATTGACTACAAATTGCACCAGCAAATAACATGTAAATCCTTGATCATTGATAAGAGGCCGGAGACAAAGTTGATCACCTTTCTGTAGAGAGAAAAAGAATTGCACCAACAAATATATGCCATGTAATCTTTAAGATCAAGCCATCAACTTGTCCTAAACCCATGAGGATGCAACCCTTAATGAAGCCATCACATGCTGTCACCACATTCTGTAAAATTGAGTTTTGGACACAATGCAATGCCGCCCATTTAAGCATTACATCTAAGCATTATGGTAAGAATGTCTTCTGAGCAGAGAGCCATTTGTTTCCAATGTGCGGCTTCCGACATTTGGCCCTGTGTATGTAATACTTTCACTGTTAGATTCACACAATTTAAGTACATACCAAAAGAGCTAATTAACATGTATGTATGTGTTTACCCCAACCGCAATCAATCATTTAGGCGAATGCATTAACTGATGGCCTGGCATTATATGAATTTGATCTGCAAATCCTGCAATGAAATAATTTTTTTTTTTATATATATATGGCAATATAAGTGAAAAATGGTGTTGAACATTAAAGTCCCATTTTATAATTCTTTGAGGCTGGAACAAATATGGTACCAGGCAGGCTGGCATGGATGTATCCGCAACAAGCTTGAAAAGAGCAGTGAAAGATGCATCTCAGGACTCTTTCTTTGCACATGTACGCTTATGGTGGTGCTGCAGCTCACATTCATTCTTGTCCTTCATAGTCACCATCTTCAATCGCTGTCAAGTACTGTAAAGAAAAGCTTTATCTGAAAGCTAGCACGACTCCATCTTATACCTTCAATACAAGCCAACAAGTTAAGATAGCAGCAGTACAGGAAGAATAGAAATGAAGAAGAGTAGAAATGAAGACTTGAACCCAAAACCTGATCTGAAACAGACTAGTTTTTGTTTTCCACCAAGTAGAAATCATCATTTATCCTAACAATTCATTAGAAGAATACTTACTGACCACTTGCCAATAGCATAAAGGACTATTTATTTTCACAATTCTTGTGCCATATCACCCAATGTTTGAGTTCTCAACCTAAAAATGCAAAAATATCTGGTCATGTATATTTGTCAAGAAATACCATCCTACGTCTTCTGTAGAATCATAACTCACTACAATAACTGTTGTGGAATTACAAGCAGTAACGTAGGATTAACTTGAAATACTCACTACAAATAGATAGGGGGGATAAAATGATGGTTTAGTATGAACTTACCTTGAATAGTGTAAAAATTGATGGATTCCGAAATTCAAGACCAAACAACTGGCTTAAAGTGATCTCAAGGGAAAAATTGGGGAAATCCCTTTCCTTGAATAGCATCACACAAACTTGTTGCATAGTTGGGCGACATTGAGGATTGAAATTCATATAAGAGACTACTATCTCTGCAACCAACACAAGTTGTTTCACTTCATGTCTTTGTGGAGGGCAGATCAGAGTCGAGGGCCCATCATATCCTTCAAAAGAATTCTATTGGTTGCTGAGAGTGAGGATGAAGAAATGCATGAAACAAGGTCACCCGGATGTTTCCCCATAATCACTTCTAGTGTTACTACTCCCAAGCTATATACATCACATTTGCAGTTTACCTCTGCAGTGTAAGCTAACTCTGCAAATAAATGCCTAAAATATTAGAGCATATATAGGTCAAAAGGTAAGAAAACAGAATAACAAGAAATCGTGTGGACCTGGAGCTGTGTATCTCATGGTTCCAACAAATCTAGTCCAATTTCATGAACTTCATGCTTGGAATCAAATAGAATATTGTAGCTTGATATGTCTCGATGAATAATAGGAGCTAAACAATCATGGTGCATGTACGATAAAGCTTTAGCCAGAGCTTTAATTTGACCACATTTATCCTTTCGAACCATCCCAACTGGAGAACTTTCTCATCATCACTCAAAATTTGTGCTAGACTCCCCCCTTGTAAATACTCATAAATCAAGAATGAATGTCTATTGTGAGCACAAAAGTCATAGAGCTTCACAATATTTTGATACCTCAAATTTGTTAATGTGCTTATCTCATTTGAAAAACTTCTGAGATCATGCCAGCTTTCATCATCTTGCAGGCCTAACATATGAAAATTCTTTACGGCAACAATCTGACCACTAGGTAACTCAAGCCCTAAACACACTTCCTGAATAATACTCAATATAAAATGTTGAAGCTCAAGCCATATGGTGGTGCACCAGCTCACATTCATTCTTGTCCTTCATAGTCACCATCTTCAATCGCTGTCAAGTAAAGAAAAGCTTTATCTGGAAGCTAGCACGACTCCATCTTATACCTTCAATACAAGCCAGGCCAACAAGTTAAGATAGCAGTATTGGAATCTTTATATGCGTGCGTGTGGTGTGTTGGTAAATTAAGAAGAGTAGAAATGAAGACTTGAACCCAAAACCTGATCTGAAACAGAGTAGTTTTTGTTTTCCACCAAGTAGAAATCATCATTTGTCCTAACAATTCATTAGAAGAATACTTACTGACCACTTGCCAACAACATCAAGGACTATTTATTTTCACAATTTCTTGTACCATATCATCCAATGTTTGAGGCTTTGAGCTCTCAACCTAAAAATGTGAAAATATCTGGTCATGTATATTTGTCAAGAAAGACCATCCTACATCTCCGGTAGAATCATAGCTCACTACAATAACTTTTGTGGAATTACAAGCAGTAATGTAGGTTTGAAATACTTGTGAAAGAGTGAAAGGTTTCATCTATTTCTCATAATAGTAGTGCTGTATAGATTACAATAATTTATACAGCAAAAACTATAATCTAATGGGCCCACTGTAACGAGCCTAGGGTTTCAACAATACTCACTACACAAATGGCAAATTATTCAGTGGACCATAACAAAAAGTAAATTTTTAATATACTAAATGTACATTATTTTTATACTGAGTGTACATTATACAAAATAATGTACACTCAGTACAAAAATAATGTACATCCCCTGAATACAATGTACATTATTTTTGTGCTGAATGTACATTATTTTTGTACTGAATGTACATTATTTTATAGTATACAAAATATGGTCCACACAACTTGTATGGACCATGGTCCACACAATAATGATTGCACTACAAATAGATAGGGGGTTAAAATGATCGTTTAGTATGAACTTACCTTGAATAGTCTAAAACTTTCCAGATTCCTAAATTCAAGACCTAACAACTGGCTTAAAGTGATCTCAGAAAAAAAATTGGGGAAATCCCTTTCCTTGGATAGCATCACACAAACTTGTTGCATAGTTGGGTGACATTGAGGATTTGAATTCATACAAGAGATTGCTATCTCTGCAACCAACACAAGTTGTTTCGCTTCGTGTCTTTGTGGACTGGAGAGTCGAGGGTCCAACATATCCTTCAAAAGAATTCCATTGGTTGCTGAGAGTGAGAATGAAGAAATGCATGTAACAAGGTCACCCGGATGTTTCCTCATAATCACTTCTAGTGTTACTACTCTGAAGCTATATACATCACATTTGCAGTTTACCTCCGCAGTGTAAGCTAACTCTGCAAATAAATCCCTAAAATATTAGAGCAGATATAAGATCAAAAGGTAAGAAAAGAGAATAAACAAGAAATAGTGTTGTAGACCTAGAGCTGTGTATCCCATGGTTCCAGCAAATGTAGTCCAATTTCATGAATCAGGGTTCAAAAATCTTGCTGTCCCAAAATCAAATAGAATATTGTTGCTTGATATGTCTCGATGAATAAAAAGAGGTAAACAATCATGATGCATGATCACATTTATCCTTTCCAACCATCCCAACTGGAGTGCTTTCTCATCATCACTCAAAATTTGTGCTAGACTCCCCCTTGTAAATACTCATAAATCAAGAATGAATGTCTATTGTGAGCACAAAATCCATAGAATTTCACAATATTTCGATGCCTCAAATTTGTTAATGTGCTTATCTCATTTGAAAAACTTCTGAGGTCATGCCAACTTTCATCATCTTGCAGGCCTAACATATGAAACTTCTTTACGGCAACAATCTGACCACTAGGTAATCCACCAGGTTGAAACATGAGCCTCTACAGTAAAAAAAAGGTCAGTTTGTTAAGAGAATATACAGTTCAGCCATTTGAGTATGACCAATTACGTTTTTTTAATAAGTAACAAGAGGAAATTGCAACATGTATCATGGAAATAAAAATTGACCTGAAATGTTATTTCCCGATCGGGTTTAGGTTGTAATGCACCCTGGCTAGCACGTCTAACAGTAAGAGTTTTATCACCCTACATCTTAATCCCATTAAGAGCTGCACAAGCAATATCAGTAACTGAAACATCTTGATAAACACAGACGGCATAGCAGCCTTATGAATTTCCGATTTCCCTATCTTTAACAAGATTAAACCCTCTTAAGTGGCCCAAAAGACTCCAGCAACTCCCAAATCTGATTTTCAGTGAAATAATAGGGAAGACCTCCCACAAAGACGCGGTCAGGACCCTCAGGTCCACCAGAAGACCCTGGAGCTAACCCAACAGGGTAGCTGCAAGGTTCAGGTTTGGACCAAGAGTAGCAGCCAGAGATGGATTATAATCAGTAGACTTGCTTGCAGCCTGCCCATAGTTTGGACATGGCTAACCCAAGATGTATGCCTGCCTGCCCACCCATATAGATGTGCACATGAATGAGATGACTTGATATAAAATGTTGAAGCTGAAGCCATATGATAGATGGTGAACCGTACCACCTCACATTCAATCTTCTCCTCCTGCTTCCTGCTCACCATCTTCACTTCACTTGCTGTCAAGTAGAGATAGATAAGCTTTATCAAGAGCCAAACTAGTCTAGCAGATCAACAACCTTTTGCATTTTGTTTATTCAAAACAGATCTTTAATTAAGCAAAACTAATAACCATAATCGCAATTCATAGCATTCACATATCACAAATAGCATAGATAGTGATAAAACTTGTTTAAGATAACTTACTTTCAATGCTGTAAAATTCATGGAGTATAGTAGCAAATTTCAGACGAAGCAATTCAACTGTCTCTGCCTTATTGTGATCTCTTTCCTTGGCTATAGAAGCAACAGAGAAACTTGAAAACAGCAATGCAGTGAACGATGTATCTCCTGCATCCATCTTAGCGATGTCCATAGGCAATCTGTAAAAGCAAATGTGTTATAAACATGCAAGAGATGAGCAAAAACTCAGAAATGAAGAAATAACGAATATATAATTACATTCTATAATCAAGAAATTGCGAATTGAATGCGACCTGGTTTAACTGGCAGCTTGTTACCATTTGTTTCTAAATCTATCTACATACTGGTTCTAAGATTGCCTACGTCCTTATGCATCCTCATGTTAAAACCACATACATTGTTCCAAACTGCAATGTCCAGTAAATAGCCATAGTTTTAGACAAAAGCAACAAATGTAGGAAGCTAAGCCCTATATATAACTCAAATAGATGCTAATCAAATAGATAGGGATAAAAAGACAGTTCAGTATGAACTTACCATGAATAGTGTAAAAATTTATGGATTTGGAAATTCAAGACCAAACAACTGGCTTAATGTGATATCAGGGGAAAAATTGGGAAAATCCCTTTCCTTGGATAGCAACATAGAAACTTGTTGCATAGTTGGCCGATATTGTGAATTGGAATTCATACAAGATATTGCTATCTTTGCAACCAACACAAGTTGTTGTGTGACATTTCTTTTTGGAGTAGGTAGTCGAGGATCTAACAAATCCATAAAAAGCATGCCATCAATATCTGAAAACGAGGATGAAGAAAGGAATGTAATGAGGTCTCCAGGATGTTTCCCCATAATCACTTCAAGTGTTACCACTCCAAAGCTATACACATCAGATTTGCAGTTTACCTCTGCAGTGTAAGCAAACTCTGCAAATAAATACCAAATATATTAGAGCATATCTAAGGTCAAAAGGGAAAGAGAATAACAAGAAAAAAGATATAATGGTGCAGACCTGGAGCTGTATATCCCATGGTTCCAGCAATTGAAGTCCAATTTGATGAATCAAGGCTCAAAAATCTTGCTGTCCCAAAATCGGATACATGAGCTTCATGCTCAGAATTGAACAGAATATTTTTGGTTGATATGTCTCGATGAATAATAGGAGGTAAACAATCATGGTGCATGTACGATAAAGCTTTAGCCACAGCTTTGACCACATTTATCCTTTCCAACCATCCCAACTGGAGTGCTTTCTCATCATCAATCAAAATTTGTGCTAGACTCCCCCCGTGTAAATACTCAAAAATCAAGAATGAATGTCTATTGTGAGCACAAAAGCCATAGAGCTTCACAATATTTCGATGCCTCAAATTTGTTAATGTGCTTATCTCATTTGAAAAACTTCTGAGATCATGCCACCTTACATCATCTTGCAGGTCTAATGTATGAAACTTCTTCACGGCAACAATCTGACCACTAGGTAGCTTGGCCATATACACACTTCCATGCCCTCCTACACCAATGCAATAACTAGAGTCGAAGTTCCCTGTTGCTTCAATTATGCTTTCATATGTCATCTTTCCATCAAAGCTCCATACTGTGAACAAATCTTTAGTAAAATCTCTTTCCTCCTCCACTGTATTTCTCTTCTGTCGTGGAAAAATAACAAAAATGATAATAACCACCGTCAATAGAAAAAAACTTCCCAAGACTATTGATATGATTACAACCAAATTTCTATTTTTGCCGTCAATTTGGCTGAGCAAGGAGCAAGGCTTTAAGCCGGAATGATTGCCACATAAACCTTTGTTATTACTTAAGGCGGAATATGGTGCCTGTAAAAATGCTTTAGTGTTAGGAAGAGGACCTTCCAACCGATTGTAAGATATATCAACAGAAACTAAAGCTGCACATTGAACAATGCTTGATGGGATGGAGCCTGACAGATTATTGTGTGATAAGTCCATTGTCTGTAAGTTTGTTAATCCTCCAACTTGTGGTGGTATCTGAGAAGAGAGAATGTTGTAACTGAGATCAAGATTTTCAAGGGATTTCAAGCTTAGCATATCAGGAGGAATCTTGCCCACAAGCATATTTCTGGTCAGATTCAATGTAATTAGGCGTTCACATCTTCCAATTTGTGGGGGAATTGAGTCAACAAACTTATTAGAAGCTAAGTTTAGCTCCGAAAGCAAAGATAGTTCTCCAACTTCTAGTGGTATGTTGCCAGTAAGTTTGTTATTACCTAATTTCAGCACATATAATTTGCTCAACTTTCCCAAACTTGTGGGAATCCTTCCAACCAACTGATTTGATGAGAGATCAAGATACTGCAGTAGAGGTGCATTGCCAAGATCAAGTGGGATATTTCCAACAATTCTATTGCCTGCCATCTTCAATGCAGTAAGATTTGGACAAAGAGCCCAATTTGAAGACAATTGGCCAGAAAAGTTATTGTAACTCAAATCTATGTAATTTAAGTTTGGATATATCCCAAAATCTTTTGATAAATCTCCATAAATCTCATTTCCGTCAAGCCTGACTCTGTAAAGGCTTGTACAATTCTTGAGACTTTTAGGAATCTTTCCACTAAATTCGTTATTGGCAATAGATAAATTTTCAAGTGACTGGCCAAAACATATATTCTCAGGCAAAGATCCAATGAAATGATTATACCCAATTTGAAAACTCCTCAAATTAGTGATATTGTTGAACTCAAATGGAATTTGACCACTAAGGTTATTTGAACGTAACGATAAATTTACCAACATTGACAAGTTCCCTATTTCTGGAGGGATTTTTCCAATGAGAGAGTTTGATGAAAGATCACACACAACAAGAGACTTTAACAATCCAATTTCTTGAGGGATCTGTCCTGACAGATTGTTGCTGTAAAGATACAACGATTTTAGATTTTGCAGGTTCCCTAGTGAGATAGGAATTCGGCCACTGAGGTTATTTGAATACAACCATAACCCTTGAAGAGATGTCAATTTTCCTAACTCCCTAGGAATGGATCCATAGAGTTGATTTCCCCATAGAGATAAATTTACCAACATTGACAAGCTCCCTATTTCTGGAGGGATTTTGCCAATGAGAGCGTTTGATGAAAGATCACACACAACAAGAGATTTTAACGATCCAATTTCCGAAGGGATATTGCCTGATAGGTTATTTGTATGCAACCACAGCTCTTGAAGATATTTCAATTTCCCTAATTCCTTAGGGATGGATCCATAGAGTGGATTTTCAAGTAATGATAAATATACCAATTTTGTCAAGTTACCTATTTCTCGAGGGATATTGCCAGAAAATTGATTCTTATCAAGATAAAAGATAGTCAAATTCCTCAAGTTTCCAATTGATGTAGGAATTTGACCCGTGAAAGTGTTTGATCGAAAATCCATCTCTTCAAGCGAAATTAACAACCAAAATTCTCGAGGAATATGACCTGATAGATTGTTGTGGTTAAGATTCAACAACTTCAAACCTTTTAAATTTCCGATTGAGGTTGGAATTTGGCCACTAAGGTTATTTGAGTCCAACCTTAACCTTTGAAGAGATATCAATTTTCCTATCTCTTTTGGAATGGACCCATACAGTTGATTTCCCCATAGAGATAAACTTACTAGCATTGACAAGTTCCCTATTTCTGGAGGGATTTGGCCAATGAGAGTATTCGATGAAAGATCACACAGAACAAGAGATTTTAAAAATCCAATTTCTTGAGGGATCTGTCCTGACAGATTGTTGGTGAAAAGATACAACATTTTTAGATTTTGCAGGTTCCCTAGTGATATAGGAATTCGACCACTGAGGTTATTTGAATACAACCATAACCCTTGAAAAAATGTCAATTTTCCTAACTCCCTAGGAATGGATCCATAGAGTTGATTTCCCCATAGAGATAAATTTACCAACATTGACAAGTTCCCTATTTCTGGAGGGATTTTGCCAATGAGAGAGTTTGATGAAAGGTCACACACAACAAGAAATTTTAACAATCCAATTTCTTGAGGGATCTGTCCTGACAAATTGTTGTTGTAAAGATACAACGATTTTAGATTTTGCAGGTTCCCTAGTGAGATAGGAATTCGGCCACTGAGGTTATTTGAATACAACCATAACCCTTGAAGAGATGTCAATTTTCCTAACTCCCTAGGAATGGATCCATAGAGTTGATTTCCCCATAGAGATAAATTTACTAACATTGACAAGTTCCCTGTTTCTGGAGGGATTTGGCCAATGAGAGCATTTGATGAAAGATCACACACAACAAGAGATTTTAACAATCCACTTTCTTCAGGTATTTGACCACTAAGGTTATTTGAATACAAAAATAACCCTTCAAGAGATGTTAATTTTCCTAACTCCCTAGGAATGGATCCATAGAGTTGATTTTTAGATAGAGATAAATGTACCAACATTGTCAGGTTCCCTATTTCTGGAGGGATCTTACTTGAAAGATTATTGAGGCCAAGATGCAACTCTTTTAAGTTTTTCAAGTTCCCAATTGAAGTAGGAATTGGGCCACTAACAGAATTTTCGTCCAATCTCAACTCCACAATTGATACTAACAATTCAATTTTTCGAGGAATGTGTCCTAAAAATTGATTATTGCTCAGATCCAAAGTTGTTAAATTTTTCAAATTGGACATTTCTTCAATAAAAGAAATGTTACCATGGAAAGAGTTGGCAGACAAATCAAGAATTTCTAAAGAGGACAAAGATGAAAAGTTTAAGCTCCCGAGCGTACCTTGTAAACCATATCCAGTAAGGTTCAAGGATGTAATGCTTCCATCAAGGTTGCAGTTAATTCCAGTCCAATTGCAGTGGGTGCCACCAACAACGTTAACCCATGATGACAATAGTTTTTGAGTTTTGAGGTCAAGGCTCGACTTCCATGTCAACAAAGAAGCCACTTCTAATTCATTTGCTTCTCGCAAGGAATGGGTGTTTGTAGTGTTGAAATGGGAAGCTGAAATTGGATGAAAGGCAAAAAGGTATATAATAAGTAGGAGGCGGAGGAGTGTTATATTTTCGGGATTTGCCATTGTGAAAGCTAAGGATTGATGACACACATGCAGTACAAATGGTGCAAATTACATAGTATTGGGTGCGTGGAAAAGGAACAAACATATGGGAGTATATATAGATTTTGTTTGAATATACTGGATCGGATTGGATTTATGATGCTAGTAATAGAATTAAGATTTAAACACAAATTTAGCAATAGTGAATTATTGGTGTTTAAGTCTTAACTCAGTTACTAGAATTAGATTAAAATTATAACTCTAATATTTATAAATGGTATATGTTTTTTTTTTTTCAAATTTGCTTCCACATATAAAAAATAATTTATTTGCGAAGAAAAGTAACTTGAAATATATATTTTTACCCTCTACACCAAGCTTCCTAATATGATTCCATTTAATTTTTTACTCTCTACACTAAACTTCCTAATATGTATGGATTCATATCTAGAGCAAAAATATAAAATTAAATATTTAATTTCAGATCAATAAAATCTTAACAAGCAAAACATTTAATTTAAATTTAATAAGTATTGCATTTTTTCCATTACATTTGTGATAAACATCCATCTAATATTTTAACACTCATCAATAATTTAAATGAGTCAAATATTGAATATAATTATTTTGCACGTCAAAGGGGGTAAGAAGACTCATAAAGTCTTTGGTGGTATGCTTGTATAGTAGCAATTGAAAACTCCAAAAGCAAGTTTGTAAATATATCATTATTGGAGAGGTTGATATAACTAACTTAAGGCGTGAGCTTCACTCTGGATGCTAAAATTTTGATTCTAGCATAGCTAGTTGATGGACAAGATACTAATGTATTGGACATTCGGTAATAATAAGAAGGCTTGCATAACTTTATTAACTATAGGTCTAATAAACTTGCACTCGTGCTTGATATATTTAATTTTTTATGACAATATTATCAAAGTTTGACGTGGACTATGATTTATGATAATTTTCCATTTAATTTTTATATGTGTATTCCTCAGTGATGCAATCCTTATACCATGGACCAGGATTTATAATGCACTGTGGATCTTGGTTCATGTGTATTAGACCTGGCAATTATGGACACGACCCGTTAACACGACACGAAACCGGACACGAAAGTAACGGGTTAGTGTTTAGCCTTAACGTGTCATGGGTCATTAATGGGTTGACCCGTTATGTTTCGTATCTTAATGGGTTAACCCGTTAAACCTATTAAGAACCCGTTTAACCCGTTAATATTATCGTGTTAACCCGTTAACACGAACCCGTTTGCCAAACATGTTTATAACCCGCTAAGAATCATTGTCATTTAGGTAAGAACCATTGTCATTATTGAGATTACAAAAGATATTATGAACATGCGCAAATTATGCCATGGAATCGTGTTCACCGAGAATGGTGAACACAAGGCAAAACGACGTCGTTTTTACGCCAAAAAAAAAAAAAAAAAAAATCGCAGATGTGGAGTTAACGGCGCGCGTTTGATCAAATTATGAATTTTCTGTTATGAGATTATGAATTTTATGAAAATTCATAATCTCATAACAGAAAATTCATAATCGCATAACAGAAAATTCATAATCTCACAACAGAAAATTCATAATCTCATAACAGAAAATTCATAATCTTATAACAGAAAATTCATAATCTCATGGTTCCAAAGTGAATGTGTAGGCATGGTTCCAAAGTGAATGTGCAGGCATGGATTCATAATTTATGAATGTCCGTGATTTCGGACGGGAATATGTAGGCATGGTTCCAAAGTGAATGTGCAGGCATGAATTCATAATTTATGAATGTCCGAAATTATGAATGTAATGAAAATCCATAATCTCATAATAGAAAATTCATAATCGCATAACAGAAAATTCATAATCTCATAACTGAAAATTCATAATCTCATAACAGAAAATTCATAATCTTATAACAGAAAATTCATAATCTCATGGTTCCAAAGTGAATGTGTAGGCATGGTTCCAAAGTGAATGTGCAGCCATGGATTCATAATTTATGAATGTCCGTGATTTCGGACGGGAATGTGTAGGCATGGTTCCAAAGTGAATGTGCAGGCATGAATTCATAATTTATGAATGTCCGAAATCTTTGTTCACCTCAAATTAAAGTGAAACCGCAAAATGTGAAAATAAAGAAGAAAAGTCACGCAATTAATTAAAAAAAAAAAAAAAAAAAAAAAAAAAAAGAAGATAACGGTGTACTAACACCGTTAGAACCGTGTTCACCATGAATGGTGAACACGGTTCCATGGCATAACGTCTGATGAACATGACTAAGGATGAAATTACTACATTAGACCAAGATCCTACACCAATTAATTGATGTTCATCAATTTGAAATTTGAATTTTTATTGTGTTCAATTTTATTCTAAAAACTTGTATAGACTCCTTTAATTATGATTTTTGGATGTTATTTTATCTTTTTATGAATGTTATGAATTGAATATTTTTAGTTTGTTTGATGAATTGAACGGTAGTTTTTATTTATTTATATTTTTTTGTAGAACTTAACTTTAAATTTTAGTTTTTTAAATATATTAATAGAGATAGCGGGTTTAAACGGATTTCGTGTCATATCGTGTCGACCCGACTTGAAACCTGTTAACAAAACGTGTCTATCATGTCAACCCGTTAACAAATCGTGTTCGTGTTCATGTTAAAAATTTGAACATGTTAACCTTAACGTGTCGTGTCCGTGTTTAGCCTTATCGTGTTCGTGTCGTTATCGTGTCTACCCGTTAACGGACCCGTATACACGAATTGCCAGGTCTAATGTGTATATGTTTTGTGTTGTGATTTTTTTTTTTGTCTTGCGTTATGAAATAATATAATGTCTCTTAAGAGTATGAATTCTGTACTTAGAACAGATTAGTAGTTGTATCTTATGTTATAAATTTTTGTGCATGTCTTGTGTCGCGAAATTTTGTGCCTATAAACATAAATTATGTACTTAAATCAGATTTGAAAAATAAGTAAATATATAACATGTGTATGTACTTGTTTTATAAAATTTTATATTTTACGAGTATGAATTTTGTACCTCGTCATTTCAATCCAGGGTTTATAATGTTACGTGTCTTAGCTTGTATTGTGATTTTTGTTTGTGTTTCATTGTAGTTCTTTTTCATCATCACTCAAATGTGTGCCAGGATACCCCTTATTAGTACTCATAAATCAAGAATGAATGTCTCTCGTAAGTACAAAAGCCGTAAAATTTTACAATATTCCAATGCCTTGCATATGTCAATGTGCTTTATCTCATTTGAAAAACTTCTACGATCAAGCCTCTCATCATATCGCATGCCTAATGTGTGATTCAACAATCAGACCACTTGGTAGCTCGACCCTATAGACACTTCCATATGCCCTCTTACATCAATGCAATATTCTGTTACTATACACATACACATTAATAACGGAATATTCTATCAACTATTTATTATTTTAACTTACTCATTGTTTTTCATAAGAAAATTCTTAGGTTCGAACCTCATCTCAATTAAAATTGACATAATTGTTAAACATATATAATGAATATGTTAAAGTATATTTCAAAAATACAATATAAAATTTAACATGAACTTTGGTAAATTAATTAGAATCACGCATTGAGCATTGATGAAACAGTACACCTAATTTACAGTATCAACTGAGAAACTATGCCTATTATCATTGTCTTTTTGAGAAGGAGGATTTGGTTCTGTTTTTGAATGTGCACTGTGCCAAGACACTAAAATTGTTGTGAAGCACAGTAGGGGACTAGATCAAATCAAGAATTCATTTCTAATGGAAGTGACAATAAGATGAAGCATGAATCATGCCAATTAACAGGGTTTCGTGTTCAAAAACTATGCTTATGGTACTATCCAGTGAGGGTTATTCCTTCTAAAATTAATATTGCACCAGTTAATCCAACATTTATGTCACAGGCCATAGTTATGTATTCTTGAAATATTTATTTTTATAAAAAAAATTGATAATTTTGTATTGATATACACTAGCTAGGATACTGAATGATAGTTTGATAAATTATGAAACAGTAATTTAAAAATACACATTGGACATCAGATTATTCACGCAATGCGCGAGTGGTAACCAGTCTATGTAATAGTGCGCAATTACGTAATAGTGGGCACTTCAGTTGGTCAGGGGATGAAGTTTGGAAACAATGATTCGGAATTGAGTCTCACCAATCATCCTCCCAAATACTTTGTTTGACCTGGATGTGGGGGACTTTCAGGATTGGAGATTCAATCTTGTAGGAATAATAGTGTGCAATTACGGGAATGAGAGTTGGTGGTGTAGTAATAAACTGACAAAGAGGTATAATAAGACACAAATTAAAGACCTACTCGTGTTCTACAGAACAAAGTTGATTAATTCTGAGAAGACTTTAACTTCCACTGTCAAGTGTCAAGGGGTTGTAAGAATATTAAAAATTCTCAGTCTTTCACGGCAGCAAGAAAAGTGATACATATTTGAAGCACAAGTTTTATAGACTTCTAGATGTAACTATCACTTTGGAGTGTATAACACTTTGGCTTCTAAACCTAGTTGTTGATATATGGTGATTGATATTTAGGATTCCTGGTTCCCTTCACAAAACAGACCATGTTTAGTGCTCTGATTACGTACACATCAGTGTAAGAAAAATATTATGTGTACTCTTATTTTGTACTCTCAACTTGTACTCCCACACAAAATTTTGATATAGACATTTGTATAACTTATCAGAATCAACCACATCAGAGAATAAAATTTAGAAAGTAAGATTAGGAAGTACTACATATAGTAAAACTCTCCGTGTAAGGGTGTACGTAAGTAAGAAGACTGCTTTCCGTCCAAAAAACAATTAAGTTTGTAAATATATCAATATTATATTCGTGGGGGGCGGGGGATCATTTAATTCCCTTGGAAGACTAGGGGACTTTAATTCTCAGATCAGCCTAGCTAATTGAGAGAGAGACAAGATAGTAATGTTTGGTACACACTCCACTACAGACAAGATAGAGATCAGTCTTCACTTATGGTTAGTTTTAGAGAAGGACCTTGAATTGGTACACCCCATCGAAAGGGTTGTAAGAAGACTCAAATTAAAAAACCAGTACGTCTTCCACGGCACTTCAGCAATATAATTATATTGGGAAGGTCCAGATCAGATCGAAAAATGAAGCACATTTGAAAGCAACTTATATATAGAGGGTTAGTCGTGAGCTTCACTTTAATTTGGAGTGTATAACGTACTACACTTTGACTCTCAGCCTACTTGTTGATGTTTAGGATTTTTGTGCAACTAACATTTCTCCATCTCCCTATGTAGGACTGATTTTTATTAGAAAAATGAGCACAAAAAATGAAGGTGTTGAACATTAAAGTCCCATTTTATATTTCTTTGAGGAACATTAAAATATGGATGTATCCACAACAAGCTTGAAAGGAGCCCGCAGTGAAGGATACATACATCTTGCAGCTGTACATTGTCTGTAAATGCATAAATGTTATCAGTCTAAAGAATCTCTTCTATTGCCTTTGCACCAGCAAATAACATGTAAATCCTTGATCATTGATAAGAGGCCGGAGACGGAGTTGATCACCTTTCTGTAGAGAGAAAAAGAATTGCACCAATAAATATATGCCATGTAATCTTTAAGATCAAGCCATCAACTTGTCCTAAACCCATGAGGATGCAACCCTTAATGTTAAGCCATCATATCAGATGCTGTCACCACATTCTGTAATATTGAGTTTTGGACACAATGCAATCACACCCATTTAAGCATTACATCTAAGCATTATGGTAAGAACGTCTTCTGAGCAGAGAGCCATTTGTTTCCAATGTGCGGCTTCCCACATTTAATTTGGCCCTGCGTATGTAATACTTTCACTGTCACAATTTAAGTACCAAATTAAAAGAGCTAATTAACATGTATGTATGTGTTTACCCCAACTGCAATCAATCATTTAGGCGAATGCATTAACTGATGGCCTGGCATTATATGAATTCGATCTGCAAATCCTGCAATGAAGTAATTTTTTATTTTTTTTATATATATGGCAATATAAGTGAAAAATGGTGTTGAACATTAAAGTTCCATTTTATAATTCTTTGAGGCTGGAACAAATATGGTACCAGGCAGGCGGGCATGGATGTATCCGAAACAAGCTTGAAAAGAGCAGTGAAGCTAAGGATGCATCTCTTGCATCCATTTTACAGCTGTACATTGTCTGTAAATGCAAAAATGTTATCCGTGAAAATATAAAAAATTATAGACATGCAAAAACTCAGAACTCAAGATATAGCTAATATAAGATTAGGTTTTATATATAATCATCAACATGAGTGGGTGGGGTTTACCACCTTCATTAACTACACTTCATAATAATTTGTTCGCAACTAGAGGTTCCAGGATTGCCTACTTCCTTATTCCAAACTGCAATTTCCAGTAAATGCACATAGTTAAGATATCTGAAAGCTTTATCTGAAAGCTAGCATGACTCCATCTTATACCTTCAATACAAGCCAACAAGTTAAGATAGAAGCAGTACAGGAAGAATAGAAATGAAGAAGAGTAGAAATGAAGACTTGAACCCAAAACCTGATATGAAACAGACTAGTTTTTGTTTTCCACCAAGTAGAAATCATCATTTGTCCTAACAATTCATTAGAAGATTGAATACTTACTGACCACTTGCCAATAGCATAAAGGACTATTTATTTTCACAATTGTTGTGCCATATCACCCAATGTTTGAGTTCTCAACCTAAAAATGCAAAAATATCTGGTCATGTATATTTGTCAAGAAAGACCATCCTACGTCTTCTGTAGAATCATAACTCACTACAATAATTGTTGTGGAATTACAAGTAGTAACGTAGGTTTGAAATACTCACTACAAATAGATAGGGGGGATAAAATGATGGTTTAGTATGAACTTACCTTGAATAGTGTAAAAATTTATGGATTCCGAAATTCAAGACCAAACAACTGGTTTAAAGTGATCTCAAGGGAAAAATTGGGGAAATCCCTTTCCTTGAATAGCATCACACAAACTTGTTGCATAGTTGGGCGACATTGAGGATTGAAATTCATATAAGAGACTACTATCTCTGCAACCAACACAATTTGTTTCACTTCATGTCTTTGTGGAGGGCAGATCAGAGTCGAGGGCCCATCATATCCTTCAAAAGAATTCTATTGGTTGCTGAGAGTGAGGATGAAGAAATGCATGAAAAAAGGTCACCCGGATGTTTCCCCATAATCACTTCTAGTGTTACTACTCCCAAGCTATATACATCACATTTGCAGTTTACCTCTGCAGTCTAAGCTAACTCTGCAAATAAATGCCTAAAATATTAGAGCACATATAGGTCAAAAGGTAAGAAAACAGAATAACAAGAAATCGTGTGGACCTGGAGCTGTGTATCTCATGGTTCCAACAAATGTAGTCCAATTTCATGAACTTAATGCTCGGAATCAAATAGAATATTGTAGCTTGATATGTTTCGATGAATAATAGGAGCTAAACAATCATGGTGCATGTACGATAAAGCTTTAGCCAGAGCTTTAATTTGACCACATTTATCCTTTCGAACCATCCCAACTGGAGAGCTTTCTCATCATCACTCAAAATTTGTGCTAGACTCCCCCTTGTAAATACTCATAAATCAAGAATGAATGTCTATTGTGAGCACAAAAGCCATAGAGCTTCACAATATTTTGATACCTCAAATTTGTTAATGTGCTTATCTCATTTGAAAAACTTCTGAGATCATGCCAGCTTTCATCATCTTGCAGGCCTAACATATGAAACTCTTTACGGCAACAATCTAACCACTAGGTAACTCAAGCCCTAAATACACTTACATGTGCATTGAGAGGACAGGATCTGTGCTAATTAAAGATGTTGAAAGACACAGAAGCAGCAACCAGAGATGGGGGGGATTATAAACAAACAATATATCCTCTGCCAGGCATTAATTTGTGATCCCTACTGATCTGATCTGAAGAAAGCACATGCATAAGGGTAAAGCAAGCATATTTTGCAGGTATATATGATATGACTTATAAGGGTAATGAAGTTGACTAGTACCCATATATGGATTTGCAGGCAGATTTTTTTTCCCATGATTTATATAAACTTTGACTAATTCATCACCTGAAAATCAAGCAGCCCTAGTAAATTACGTATACAAATAAAATGTTATAAATTAAGATTGAGCTAGGGTCACTCAACGGGACCAATTAGCTAGTTTATCAAACTGTTTACATTTTGTTTATTCAAAATGGGCTATATTGCACATAGGTCAAACCACACTAAAAGATAGAATCCAACCAAAAAGCTAGTTTAACCCATAGCCTTATGAACCCATATGTCCTCTCTTATTTTATCAATGTGGGACTCTTAACAAAGTGAAACTAATAACCATAATCACAATTCATAGCATTCACATATCACAAATAGCATAGATAATGATAACACTTGTTTAAGATAACTTACTTTCAATGGTGTGAAATTAATGGAGTATAGTAGGAAATTTCAGACGAAACAATTCAACTGCCTGCCTTACTGTGATCTCTTTCCTTGGATATAGAAGCAACTGAGAAACTTGAAAACTGCAGTGCAGTGAATGTTTGCAAAAACTCAGAAATCAAGAAATAGCTAATATTATTAGATTCTATAATCAACATGAGAGGGCATTGTGAATTGAATGCGAACTTGTTTGACTGGCAGTTTGTTACCATTTGTTTCTGATCGATCTACGTACTGGTTCCAAGATTGCCTACTTCCGTATGCATCCTCATGTTAAAACCACATACATTGTTCCAAACTGCAACAAATGTAGGAAGCTAAGCCCTATATATAACTCAAATAGATAGGAATAAAATGACAGTTTAGCATGAACTTACCTTGAATAGTGTAAAACTTTATTGATTTGGAAATTCAAGACCAAACAACTGGCTTAAGGTGATATCAGGGGAAAAATTGGGAAAATCCCTTTCCTTGGAAAGCAACATAGAAACTTGTTGCATAGTTGGCCGATATTGTGGATTGGAATTCATACAAGATATTGCTATCTTTGCAACCAAAACGAGTTGTTGTGTGACATTTCTTTTTGGAGTAGGTAGTCGAGGATCTAACAGATCCTTAAAAAGCATTCCATCAATTGCTGAAAACGAGGATGAAGAAAGGCATGTAATGAGGTCTCCAGGATGTTTCCCCATAATCACTTCAAGTGTTACCACTCCAAAGCTATACACATCACATTTGTAGTTTACCTCAGCAGTGTAAGCAAACTCTACAAATAATACCAAATATATTAGAGCATATCTAAGGTTAAAAGGGAAAGAATAACAAGAAAAAATATATATAATGGTGCAGACCTGGAGCTGTATATCCCATGGTTCCAACAACTGAAGTCCAATTTGATGAATCAAGGCTCAAAAATCTTGCTGTCCCGAAATCAGATACGTGAGCTTCATGCTCAGAATTGAACAGAATATTTTTGCTTGATATGTCCCGATGAATAATAGGAGGTAAACAATCATGGTGCATGTACGATAAAGCTTTAGCCACAGCTTTGACCACATTTATCCTTTCCAACCATCCCAACAGGAGTGCTTTCTCATTATCGCTCAAAATTTGTGCTAGACTCCCCCCTTGTAAATACTCATAAATCAAGAATGAGTGTCTATTGTGAGCACAAAAGCCATAGAGCTTCACAATATTTCGATGCCTCAAATTTGTTAATGTGCTTATCTCATTGGAAAAACTTTTGAGATCATGCCAGCTTTCATCATCTTGCATGCCTAATGTATGAAACTTCTTCACAGCAAAGATCTGACCACTAGGTAGCTCGGCCCTAAACACACTTCCATGCCCTCCTACACCAATACAATAACTAGAGTCGAAGTTCCCTGTTGCTTCAATTATGCTTTCATATGTCATCTTTCCATCAAAGCTCCATATTGTGAACAAATCTCTATTAGTAAAATCTCTTTGCTCCTCCCTTGTATTTCTCGTTTTTCGTCGAAAAATAACAAAAATGATAATAACCACCGTCAATAGAAAGAAACTTCCCAAGACTACTGATATGATTACAACCAAATTTCTGTTTTTTCCGTCACTTTGGCTGAGCGAGGAGCAAGGGTTTAAGCCGGAATGATTGCCACATAAACCTTTGTTATCACTTAAGGCGGAATATGGTGCTTGTAAAATTGCTTTGGTGTTAGGGATAGGACCCTCCAACTGATTGTAAGATATATCAACAGAAACTAAAGCCGCACATTGAGCAATGCTTGATGGGATGGAGCCTGACAAATTATTGTGTGATAAGTCCAATGTCTGTAAGTTTGTTAATCCTCTAACTTGTGGTGGTATCTGAGCAGAGAGGATGTTGTGACTGAGATCAAGATTTTCAAGGGATTTCAAGCTTAGCATATCAGGAGGAATCTTGCCCACAAGCATATTTCTGCTCAGATTCAATGTAATTAAGCGTTGACATCTTCCAATTTGTGGGGGAATTGAGTCAACAAATTTATTAGACGCTAAATTTAGGTCTTCAAGCCAAGATAGTTCCCCAACTTCTAATGGTATGTTGCCCGTAAGTCTGTTACTATCTAACTTTAGCATATATAACAAACTCAACTTTCCCAAACTTACAGGAATCCTTCCAACCAGCTGATTTGATGAGAGATCAAGATACCGCAGTTGAGATGCATTGCCGAGTTGAAGTGGGATATTTCCAGAAATTCGATTGCCCGCCATCTTCAGAGCAGTAAGTTTTGGACAAAGAACCCATTTTGATGACAGTCGACCGTAAAAGTTATTGTAGCTCAAATCTATGTAATCTAGGTCCGGATATATCCCAAAATCTTTTGATATGTCTCCGTAAAGCTCATTGCTTTCAAGCCTGACTCGGTAAAGGGTTGTACAATTCTTGAGGCTTTTAGGAAGTCTACCACTAAATTTGTTGTTTTCAATAATTAATGTTTCTAGAGACCCGCTAAGACACAAACTCTCTGGCAAAGAACCAATGAGATGATTATCATTAACTTGAAAATTCTTCAAACTAGTGAGATTACTGAACTCAGTTGGAATAGATCCATAGAGCTGATTCTCAAATAGGGTTAAAGTTATCAAGCCTGACAAGTTTCCAATTTTTGAAGGTATTTGACCACTAAGGTTATTTGAATACAACCATAGCCCTTGAAGAGATTTCAATTTTCCCAACTCCTTAGGGATCGATCCAGAGAGCTGATTCTCAGATAGTGATAAAGTTATCAATTTTGGAAAGTTCCCTATTTCTGTAGGGATTTGACCACTAAGGTTATTTGAATGCAACCCTAGCACTTGAAGAGATTTCAAATTTCCCAACTCCTTAGGGATGGATCCAGAGAACTGATTCTCATTTAGGGATAAATTTATCAACTCTGACAAGTTCCCTATTTCTGTAGGGATTTGACCACAAAGGTTATTTGAATACAACCATAGCACTTGAAGAGATTTCAAATTTCCCAACTCCTTAGGGATGGATCCATAGAGTTGATTCTCACCAAGTGATATATTTATCAATTGTGGCAAGTTCCCTATTTCTGTAGGGATTTGACCATTAAGGTTATTTGAATACAACCATAGCACTTGAAGAGATTTCAAATTTCCCAACTCCTTAGGGATGGATCCAGAGAGCTGATTCTCAGATAGTGATAAAGTTATCAACTCTGACAAGTTCCCTATTTCTATAGGGATTTGACCACTAAGGTTATTTGAATACAACCATAGCCCTTGAAGAGATTTCAAATTTCCCAACTCCTTAGGGATGGATCCATAGAGTTGATTCTCACCAAGTGATATATTTATCAATTTTGGCAAATTCCCTATTTCTGTAGGGATTTGACTACTAAGGTTATTTGAATACAACCATAGCCCTTGAAGAGATTTCAAATTTCCCAACTCCTTAAAGATGGATCCAGAGAGCTGATTCTCATATAGGGATAAAGTTATCAACTCTGACAAGTTCCCTATTTCTGAAGGGATTTGACCACTAAGCTTATTTGAATATAACCATAACCCTTGAAGAGATTTCAATTTCCCCAACTCTTTAGGGAGGGATCCATACAGTTGATTCCTATCAAGGGATAAATATATCAACTCTGACAAGTTCCCAATTTCAATAGGGATGTGACCACTAAGGTAATTTGAATATAACCATAGACTTTGAAGAGATTTCAATTTTTCCAACTCTTTAGGGATGGATCCAGAGAGTTGATTCTCAACAAGTAATAAATTTATCAATGTTGACAAGTTCCCTATTTCTGTAGGGATTTGACCACTAAGGTTATTTGAATACAACCACAGCTCTTGAAGTGATTTCAAATTTCCTAACCCCTTAGGGATGTATCCAGAGAGCTGATTCTCATATAAGGATAAAGTTATCAACTCTGACAAGTTCTCTATTTCTAAAGGGATTTGACCACTAAGGTTATTTGAATACAACCATACCATTTGAAGAGATTTCAATTTTCCCAATTCCTTCGGGATGGATCCATAGAGTTGATTCTTACCAAGTGATAAATTTATCAATTTTGACAAGTTCCCTATTTCTGAAGGGATTTGACCACTAAGGTTATTTGAATACAACCATAGCCTTTGAAGAGATTTCAAATTTCCCAACTCCTTAGGGATAGATCCATAGAGTTTATTTTCAATTAGAGATAAATTTACCAACTTGGACAAGTTTCCAATTGAAGCAAGGATTGGACTGCTGAGATTATTTGTTGACAACCATAGGCATTGAAGAGATGCCAATTTTCCTACCTCTCTGGGGATGAATCCATAAAGATGATTGTTTGATAGAGATAAATTTGTCAACATTGACAAATTGCCTATTTCTGGAGGAATTTGGCCCGTGAGAGCATTTGATGAAAGATCCAGCTTTACAAGCGATTTTAACATCCCGATTTCTTGAGGAATGCTTGCCGAAAATTGGTTATCATAAAGGTACAAGACTTTTAATTTTTGCAAATTGGACATTGCTTTGATAAAAGAAATGTTTCCATAGAAATAGTTGCCAGAAAAGTCAATAATTTCTAAAGTGGTGAAGGATGATAAATTTAGACTGCTTAGTGTACCTTGTAAGCCATATCCAGCAAGGTTCAAGCCTCTAATACTTTCATCAATATTGCAGTGAATCCCAGACCAATTGCAGTGACTGACACCAGCAATCCAAGATGACAATAGTTTTTGGGCTTTGAGGTCAAGACTGAACTTCCAGGTCAACAGAGAAGCCACTTCATTTGCTATTTGCAAATTTTTAGCGGGCACTACTGAATAGGTGTTTGTAGCATGGAAATGGGAAGCAGAAAGTTGATAAAAGGCAAAGAGGCGTATAATGAGCAGTAGGAGTATTAAATATGCAGGATTTGTCATTGTGAAAGGATTGATGACAAAAGGTAGAAATATTGTATTGGGTGTGTGGGAAATGATCAAATGATGTGGTGGTATATATACATATTTGCGCGCATATTGGATTTATGATGCAATTAGTGATTATCTACTCTTTTTTTCCATTTGAGAAATGTTATTATTATTATTAATTAAAAATTAAATTTAATATAATATATTATTTTTTAAAAATATGTGGACGCAAAAAATCTTCATCATATGTGGTCTTTTCATAATGTTTTATTGTTAAGTATAGTCATGGCATTTTCAATCTATCTATCTATTCAACAAATAAATAGGGGTTCTATCTATAAATATGTATGGTCTTGGATAATAAATAATGATTTTTCTTTTGAATTCAGTTACTTGATCGACCCACTTACTTCTATTATGTCAATATTAGTCACTATTATTGGAATTTTGGTTCTTATTTATAGTGATAATTATATGACTCATGATCAACGATATTTAAGATTTTTTACTTATATGAGTTTTTTCTGTGCTGTCATGTTGGGATTAGTTACTAGTTCTAATTTTATACAAATTTATATTTTTTAAGAATTGGTTGGACTATGCTCCTATCTATTAATAGGGTTTTGGTTTACATGACCCGGTGCGGCAAATGCTTGCCAAAAAGCGTTTGTAACTAATATGCCACATCAGCTCGCCAAATCAGCTTGAAAAATTCAATCATCAAATAGTTGACCTTTAACTTGAAGGCAACTTACAAATAGTGTTAATTGCATTCTTTTCGTAAGTCTAAGGTTCTAATTGAAGCTTTTTGAAGTTGAAGGGCCTAATTATACAAATCTGTATAGTTTGAGGGCTCAAACCCGCAACTTCCCATATGGGAGTTTAACTTGGTACCATTGAACCACAACGTTTAATACTTATTGGTTTAGATTACTAAAATAGATATTTTCAAAAAAAAAAAAAAAAAAAAAGATTACTAAAATAGATATTCTCACTTTTTTTTTAAATTTATTTAGGCCATATTTGGTAAAATAGTAAACCTATATGTCAATTTTGACTTATTTGACCACTATTAACTTTTTAATTTAGTTAAAAAAATTAATATATATATATATATATATAAGTGTTTGGTTAATTAGCTTTTTGTAACTCCAAAATACCTAAATTCAAAAGGTTGTTCAAAGCAACTTTTTCAATTAGCATTTTGAGAAAGGAAATTATACCAAACAGCTATCAGCTAACAGCTAATTTACCAAACATCTTTCTACAATCAGCTAATTATGTTATCAACTAGTTATAGAGTCTGTTTGGCAGAGCTTATAGCTTATTTTAAGCTACTAATAAGCTATAAGCTCTGTTTGATAATCTTTCCAAAATAAGCTCATAGCTTAAAATAATAGCTTATTCTGGAATGCTACCTTAGGTAGCGCTTTAAAATAAATTAGTAGCTTCCTAATTTTTTTTTATATCTTTGTTCTTATTATTTTAAAGAAATGACATCTTTTACCCATTCCAATTAAAACCCTTTTCTCATCTCATTTATCTGCAATTTTCACCGCAAATATTATTATTATTATTATTAGATGAAGGAGGATCGCAACAATATTGCTACTTCATTATGGGATGCTAGATCATGATTATGCTAATAATTTTATTTCAAAATGTTATTTTTTTAAGACAAAAAAAATTTAATATGTAAACAAACTAATTTAAATTTTATGAAGATGTCATTTTTTTTTCTCTTTTTACATTATCAACTTATCAAAAAGCTAATTTTACCAAACACTTTCAAGCATAACAGGTAGCTTAACAGCTCTTCAGTTTTCAGCCCCTAGCTTATAGCTTTTAAGCTTTCAGCTAGATTTGTCAAACATAGTCATGACCCGACCCAAAATCAAAAGTGACCATCATTATTCCATGGACCATGGTTCACATATTTGTGTGAACCATAAATAAAAATTACATTTTTAATATACTAAAAGTATATTATTTATATACATAAAGTACATTATTTGAAAGTACATAATTTTTTTTTATATTATCAAATCATGTACATTTAGTACACAAACAATGTATTTTTAGTATATTAAAAATGTATATTGAATTTATAATCCACATAACTATGTGAACCATGTTCCACTGCTCAAAAGTAAACCCCATTAAAAATTACACACAAAATGATGACTTTAAATATCAAGTTGACCCATTTTTTCAAAAGAATCTATCCGGCCACGTATATTTAGTGCAAAATGATGCAAGTTTTTACTAAAACAATGTGCAATGTTTGGATCATGCCAAAACAATGTGTGATTAGACTTCTTGATCTATTAGTACGTATTTAGGCCAAAGCTATTTATGTTTGGAACATGAACGTTTAGTCTAAAATGATAAGGTTAAAGTTCATGCTTATTTATACCAAAACAAATAAGAGAAAAGGCCCCTAAACTTTACCCCAAAGATCAATTAGGTCCTAAATTTTAAAAAAGTGCAATTAAACTCTCAAACATATCAAATTGGGTTATTGAAGCCCAAAAATCGATAAATAACCTGTTATTACATGTCATTTCAATTCCCGCGACGAATTCAGGTCACCGGCGAAAAAATTCGACCACCGGCGACAAAATCCGGCCATCCGGTCATTTTCCACTGGAGAAGACGACCGGACGGCTGTCTTCTCCAATGGAGAAGCCGTCCGGTCGTCTTCTCCAGTGGAAGACAACCGGACGGTCGGATTTTTGTCGCCGGTGGTCGGAATTTGTCGCCGGAATTGAAATGACCTGTAATAACAGGTCATTTATCGATTTTTGGGCTTCATTGACCCAATTTGACATGTTTGAGGATTTAATTGCATTTTTTTAAAATTTAAAGGCCTAATTGACTTTTGGTGTAAAATTTAGGAGCCTATTTGATCCTTTTCTCAACAAATAAAGTGTGTTTAGACTTCATAATTTATCAATGCATACTTAGTCTAGAGAAATGTAAATTTTTTCCAAAGCGGTGTAGATTTCCCCAAAATGTTTGTTTCAGAAAGATGCATGTTATTTTATCCGGAAAGATGTTTTTTCTGAAATAATGTTTATTTTTGTCCTAATAATGTAATAAAAGTTTGACATATTTATGAAAATATCGATCATTGCACCTTTTACTTAAGTACAAATGACATTTACCATTATTTTAGGATGAATAATGGAGATTTCTTCTCATTTTTTCCCGAAAACACATTATTTTGACGAGATCACAGACACACATCTAACAACATTTATCAATTTCAATTAGTCAAATTTTGATATAGGAAAAATTGTAAAAAATGTCCCTCTATAATATGTCAATTATTAATGTCATCTCTGAATTATCAGTGGTGTAAATGTTGCCCATCAATTATCAAAACGGTACACATATAGCCCCTCCCGTAACGGACATGTGGTTCCCCATTAGTGTACGACACCGTTAAGTCGGAGTAAATATGTAATTTAGTTGTTTTTTCCCTCCCTCGATTCGAAGTACCAGCGATGGACAGCGGTGGGGAACCACAGGTCCGTTACGGGAGGGACTATATGTGCACCATTTTGATAATTGAGGGGCAACATTTACAACACTCATAATTCAGAGGTGACATTGATAATTGACATATTATAGAGGGGCATTGTTTACAATTTTCCCTTTGATATAATAAAATTGATTTACACCGTCAGGGGGGGGGGGGGTAAGAAGACTCCAAAAGCAGTCTTCTGCTGGTGCAATTGAATGGGATGTTTAAAAAAAAAAAGTTTGTACTGTATATTGTTAATTTATTATCATGGGGAAAGATGAGTTTAGACGTGAGTTTTGTTTCAAGTGTAAACTAAAGTAGGGATATTACTTATGAGAAATGTTCTTTATTAAAGCCACTTTTAGTAAATTTTTTTTTTTAAAAAACACTTTCAGTAAAGTTATTTAAGCTGTTTTTTTTGGGGAAAATAGCACGTTTTTCTCCTGAGTTATATGCTTATAACACTTTCTCTCCCTGAATTATTCAAGTGGCTATTTTTCTCCTTGAAATGTTAAACAACCATATTTACCCTTAAAATAAATATTTAAAATAAATATTTTATTTATTTTTCTTCTCCAACAAATTATGACCACAATTTGGTTCAAACCAAATAGATAGTATAGCAACCAAACCGAAATATTCCAATTACAATTTAGAACTGAAAGCCAATATTTAGAGTTTATTAAAATCGTGAGTCGGAACGGCCGGTTCATGTTCCGAACTGAAAAAATAAAATACATTTATTATTCATCAGATGAGGGATATAGTCTTCTATTTTGCTAGGCGATCTGCGAATCGCGCTGCCCATGCTCTAGCTAGGGAAGCCGTTTCTGTGACAGGTTGCGGGGAGTGGCATTATTTCCCTCCTATGTTTCTGCTGAACATTCTTGGTTCTGACGTAATGCATTAAGTTTTTTCTCTCAAAAAAATAACAAATAAAAAATAAAATTTTAAAATAAAGACGGTTCAAAATTATGAACCGGATCCGGAACCGCCGGTTCACGATTCAGGATCTAATTTTTTCGATTCATAATTTTAATAAACTGAAATCCAAATAGTGGGTTCTGGATTTGAATCATAACCGGAAACTTTTAATTTGATTGCTATAATGTCCGGTTCAGTTAGAACCGAACCGTGATCATCCCTACGTATACGCAATAATTGGTTGGAGAAGAAAAATAAATAAAATATTTACTTTAAGGATAGAAATGTCAATTTAATATATGATGGGAAAACAGTCACTTTTAAAATAATTAAGGGGCTAATGAACTTGCATGAATTTAAGAGAAAAAAGTGTTATAAGTATATAACTCAATGAAAAAAAAGTGTCATTTTCCCTTTCTTTTGTCAATTAAGTGGCATCATTTCCACCTAATTAATCGGGTCCTAATCAAGGTGGCATCAAAAAACTTATGAGTCTTGTGAATCTTTTTGGTCTTTGGTTGGCCTTATCGTTTCAGTGAAAAGATTCTGCAAACACAGG